ATTAAAAGATAAGTATTATAAAATTATAATAATAAAGAAAGTTTCTTAAATTTATATTTAATACCTTATTTATTAATATTATATTAAACCCTTAATAATTTAAATTTAAGTTTAATTAAAGTTTAAGTAGGGTTATACTTTAAATTTAAGCCTTTTATATAATTTAATTAATATAAAATATATAATATAATGCTATTTATTAAATTTATAAATAAGCAAAATAAACGCCTTAATTTTACATTATAATTCCTTTTACTTTAAATTTAAAGTTATAATAATAATAATAAATATTAATTAAGAGTTTAAAGTACTTTTAATTAATATTAAGTAATATTTATAAAGTTTAAATTTATTATTTTAATTTTAAGTTTATATTATTATTATATTTAAGCATAATCTTTAGCAAGAAACTTAAAATAAGTTTAAAGCTTAATAATATATAAATATAAAATTAAGGTAATATTTTATTTAAATATTAAAAGCATAAAAGGTATTTTAAAATTAAAAAGTAATTTTAAAATACTTATAATATTATTATAAGTTTAATTATACTTAATTCTTTTTTATAATAAGTTAAAGATAAATGCAAGCTTTAATTAAAGCTTTAAGCTAATATATAAAATAATTTAATAATATTTAATATAAAAATAAAAAGAAATTAAATTAATAAATAATTAGCTTATAGTTAACTTTTTATTCCTTTTATTATTAATTAAAAATATATAAAATTAAAATTATATTTAAGCTAAATTATTAATAAAAATAAGCTACTTAAATAAATAAGGGATAGGTTTTGCTAAACCCTCTTAAGAATAACTTAAGAAGGAGCTTTAATGCAATAAAGAGGGAAGATAGGAATAAAAGGAAGCTAAAGAAGGAAAAAGGCAAGTATTTTAAAAATTCTTAAAAATAAGAAAAGCTTAATTAAAGCACTAAATATATAAGAAAAGAAAAGAGTTTTTTTTTAAAAAAATATTTAAAATAAGCATAAAAGCTAACTTTTTATAGCCAGCCAGAATTCAGCGCAATACCATTTCTTATGTATTTCCCTGCACCCGCTAATAATATATTATTCTAAGTAAAATTAATAAAAATAATGTTAATATATAATATATTATTAAATAATAAAAGAATTAAATACTTAAAAATGCTATTAAATGTTATATTAAGATAACTTTTAATAAACTTTTAAAATTCTTTAAAAAGAATAAGGCTAATATATCTTTCTTTTAACTTAAAAAATTCAATTAATTTATATATTAATTAAAATTCTAAATTAATATAAGAAATTATTACCCCTAAATAAGCCATACCAGCTTTAAAAGTTTAATAATTAAAAATAAAACAAAATTTACTATTAAAGGTAATATTTTCTTTTAATTTTAAGTTAAGCCTTACTAAATTTATTTTAAAAGTATTATTTAAAATACTTTTAATTTTTAAATAATTTATTATAAGGATAGATTTAAAATTTTATTAATTTTTTTTAAAATAATAATACAAGGGGAAAATTACTTATGAGTTAAAGTAAGATAATAAGTCTTAAAAAAACTTTAAATTTAATATATTAAAAAATAAATTATTTTTAATAATAAAATTTAAAATCTTTTTAAAGGTATTATTATTTATAAAATCTTCTTTTAATTTCTTTATTAAAATAGCAAAGAAATTAAAAGAAAAAACCCCTAAATATAATATTAATATTTATATTAATATTTAAAATAAAAAAAATACTTACTTTTAATTAAGTCTTTTCACTTTCCTTATTATAAGGAATAATAGGGTGTTTTGCTTTATAATAATATTAATAATTTAAAGCTTAAAAAAGCTTTAAATTATCTTTATATTTATAAGAACATTTAAATAAATATTAATTTAAAAACTAAGTAAGATATTAATTTAATTAAAAAAACTTTAAATAATATCTTTCTTAAATTATTTTATATATTAATTATATAATTAAATGCTTTTAAAGAATATTATTAAATATATTCTTATCATTAATGCTTTTTAAGATAATACCTTTATGCTATATCCAGCTAACTATAATTTAATATAAATATAATTAAATATAAATAAAACGTATTTAAAAAAATAAATTTTATTTATATTAAGTTATATACTTTTAAGATTAAAGAAATAACTTATTAAGTACAAGATATTAATATTTCTTAATTTTTTCCCTCTTTAATAAGGAAAAGTATGCAAATAAATAAATTATTTTAAAAAATATAAATATTTATTTTCTTAAGAGGAAGGAGTTTATAAGTTGGGGAATTAAATTTATCTTTTATAATAAAAGGTATTTAAGAATTTTCTTTTAAAAAAGAAATATCATAATTCTTAATAGAAATTACTAAAGAATTAATAAGAGATAAGGGAGCAAAAGAAGATATTTTATTTATATATAATAAATAAAATAATAAGAGTATATAAATAGTTAAAAAGATAATAAATAAGTAAAGTAGGTTTAAGGAGTAATAAAGAAAGAAAAAAAAGAAAGAGAGAAAGAAAGAGAAAGAAAGAAAGGTTTATATATAAAAAAAAACGAATAGTTTATTCCTCCAAATTAAATAATTTATTCCTCCAAATTAGCTAAATATTTACCTAAAGAAATATATAATATTTTAATTTTTAAAATATTAATAAGCTTTTAAAATAATATAAAAATATATATAAATAAAAGATAATTTAAGAAAAATTATTATATATATTTTATATAATTATTTAAATATGTTTAATTTAAATTTAAATAATAAATATTTTTATTATAACGAAATCTCGGGTTTTAAAACTATCCAATTCAAATAGTTAATTACCCCAAACTTTTTTTAAGCTAAAATAAGCCCTATAGCTACTTATAAACTTAGAGTATTTATAGGGGCAAATAAGCCTTAACAAGCGCTATAGCTACTTTTTAAGTTACAATATTTACAGGGGCAAATAAGCCCTAATAAGCCTTATAGCTACTTTTAAAGTTAAAGTATTTATAAGGGTAAATAAGCGCTAATAAGCCTTATAGCTACTTTTAAAGTTAAAGTATTTATAAGGATATATAAGTTTTAATAAATATATTTAAATAAATTTATTTATTATTTATAGAAATTTTTAAATATATATAAAAATATAATATTTATATTTAAAAAAAATTTAATATTATTATATAATTTTATTAAAAAGTATTTTAAGTTTTTATTTAAAATAAAACTTAATTAAATTTAAATATTTATTTTTTTAAAGAGTAAATATATTTTTAAAGTTTTTTATTTATATTTATAGCTTTATAAACCATTAAGATATTAAAGGTTATATATAAGTGGTTACGCTAAGGGTAGGGGGAAGGGGAGGGGTGTAGGGTATATATATTATATGTAATATTTATATATTATATGTATTTATAAGGAAGCTAAATTATATATATTTCGTAATTCCATAGTATATATAGTATAGTTATATATAGCGTTAATAAAATTTATAATAATTGCTCATGATAATTATAATAATACTTATTAATCTATTAATATATAAATATAATGTAAATTCCTTGCTTATAATTATATGCTATATAATATATTAATAGCTAAGGGTTTAAATTACCCTTGAAATGGATTTTATTTTATTTTTAATTCTTTTAATTCTTTTAATTCTTTTAATTCTTTTAATTCTTTTAATTCTTTTAATTCTTTTAATTCTTTTAATTCTTTTAATTCTTTTAATTCTTTTAATTCTTTTAATTCTTTTAATTCTTTTAATTCTTTTAATTCTTTTAATTCTTTTAATTCTTTTAATTCTTTTAATTCTTTTAATTCTTTTAATTCTTTTAATTCTTTTAATTCTTTTAATTTTTAATTCTTTTAATTCTTTTAATTCTTTTAATTCTTTTAATTCTTTTAATTCTTTTAATTCTTTTAATTCTTTTAATTCTTTTAATTCTTTTAATTCTTTTAATTCTTTTTTTAATTCTTTTAATTCTTTTAATTCTTTTAATTCTTTTAATTCTTTTAATTCTTTTAATTCTTTTAATTCTTTTAATTCTTTTAATTCTTTTAATTCTTTTAATTCTTTTAATTCTTTTAATTCTTTTAATTTAACTTTTTTAGTTTTTTAGTTAAACTCAATTTAGTTTATAGTTTTTTAGTTTTAGTTAATAGGCTTGATTAAAAACTAAAAACTACATTAAGTTTTTAAAAAAGTACTAACTTAAAACTAAAATTAAAAACTACATTTAGTTTAACTAAAACTCAAAACTAATTTTACAACCCTGCCCACCACCATGTTTCGACTTTGCACAAATAACTACCACGGACGGAACTACTAGTGCTATTAAAAAGACCCACAGAATGAACTAACTGGAAATTCCTCCTCTCATGGGTGAGGAATTGCGGGCCATGTATTCGGAGAAACCACTTGTTTAGGAGAAATGGGGACTGGTAATTATGACTACTGGCCGAGAACAGGTGACCTGAGATATTTAATCGAAAGAGATGCAGAGGCCTCTTTCGCATAGAAGATAATATACGCAGAAGGACAAAAATCATGTACGCAGCCTGACTCGCAGGTTTTGGCTGGATCCCCAAGCTGCCGTGATAGAGATCAAGCCACCGTTGTTTCCGGGTAGTTTGGGATACGTCGCGAAATCGAACGGTGCATGCTACTTTGAGGGCCTAACTCTCTGGCCGGAAGCATGGAACCTGACGGTGAAAAAAGTTCCCCTTCCAACTGGTTGGCTGCCAGGGGAGTCAGATCCACGGTGGGAGTCGCATGAGTATGTCTACATGGATTCCGGTTACTTCGTTAGACTCATCGACGCAGCTCTGAGAGATCTGGCACACGCGGTATGAGATCCACTGCTGAAGGCGGCATGTGTTTCCAATGGATTCCATTATGATGTTCAAGAGCGAAAGGAAGACGATAAAGATTTAGTCCAGGTCTCTGATCATGGTAGATGCTATGTAGGTGGCTGACTAGTTTGAAGTTCGGTGCTCGCCGATTTGGTTCGCTTATTTTGAAGTAGCTTGCCAGGGCTCAAGCAGCTCGGCATACCCCTCAGTGCCCTCGTCCGACCTGTTGACGTTGATAGTCTCAGACAGCAGCTGGAAACCTTCGATGGCTCTCACATTGAGCGGCTGAAGGCTCATGTTTTTGTGGTACACTTCCAGGGCATATGCCTTTCTCTCAGGGGGTAGTTTATCAAAGACGGTGATGGGTGGGCCGTAGAGATTGGTGAAAACCTGCGCGCCGCACGTCTTACAGTGCACTACACTGCCCATATTCAGCGCTCCAAGTTCGGCCTTCAGACCGCCATGCTCCCATCCGCGTTCTTGGCCGTGGATTCGAACCTGGTCCCGGGTTGGGTAGACTCCGATGTAAGCATGCTGCTCCAACAGATGTTAGTATTTGCAACGGAGGATGGACCGCTTGACTAAAGAGCACGGCAGTGCTGATTTACCCTGATATAGCCGCTGCAGTTGTCTTCCTTGATCTCTTGGTCGTGTATGGGGACAAGAAGCTCAGCTTGGACGTCCCCACATTGGCAGGAGAACAGATGATGTGCCGCTGGCTCAGTGGTTGCAGGCCGTTGGATCTCGGACCTCTCGTCTTCCGTCTCGACGGTCGTGATGCTAAAAGGTCAAGGTTCAGTCACTTTGATAACCAGTACCAGAATAAGGTCAGTTATTCACCGGAGGACCTACCTGATTTGAAACGGATTGACCCCTTGAATGGTGCGTACATTTACAGTGAAGTGGCCGCTCGATGGTCCCGCGATATGCTGGCCGACTACTCCTATGCCGCATTGGTCACAGAACTGCCAGCCAAGGACGTTAGCATCAAGACGAAAACTCGAGATTGTTGGCCGCACCTTATGAGAGATTGACTTTGACGCGTGTTACCGCAGGCAGCCATCGTCCCTAATCACCTTGAAACTGCCTTCGGGCGGGGCAAGCCACAGGTAGCCCTCTTTTAGACAGACACTGCATGTGCAAGAGGAAGCCGTCTGTATCACGCCAGGCAAGCATATCTCATAGCGGTACCGACCACAAACACAATTTCCGCGGTAGACGAGGTCTTGTGGGTGAGCCATCTTGGGCTTTCAGCCAACTTTCTGCTTGAGTCGAGAAGAGAGACGTAGTGGATCCCTTTAATCACGGCGTTTGAAACTAGTTACTAGGTGTGTATTCTTGTCGCTGTCTTGCTTTGGCCCTACTGTTCTTTGACAAAGAGCTATCCACGATGCGTATGGTGATATCCTGTCCTGAAGTTGTTGATTTCATTGGGATGGCTCAAGAGATGACATTCACGTGCCCTCCAGCCAATACTTTATCAAGCGACCCCCGCAGAGCTGACCTGTTGGTTTCGTGTGGCCGGATTTGAAGAAACATGTATCTGCGTGGAGAAAGCCCGCTACTGCACGTTTGACAATGGAATCTTGATTTGGAAGGTCTGTCAGAGCTCTTATCATACATCCTGGATTCAGTTCAACTTCTTTACCTACCCGATTTGTGCGTGTGCAGGCCGAGGACGCGGGATTGATAGCGTAGGATTCCGGGCCGACAAAAGTTCACACATGACATGGTCATTCTCCTCTTGCTGGGCCGTATTCGTGTTCATGCGGCACAGAAACTTGTCACGACGACTGTGAAGTTACAGCACCGTCCAATGAGACAGAGCAGGTTGATTCCCGAGAATCCCGGAGGAGGATACAGCATTGACTGTGTGAGCTTTTGGGGACACGCGCTGGCGGTGCCATTCCTATGCGTATCTGCACGAGTGTCAATGTCCCACCACATACAAAAGTGGAAAGATAGTCTTCTGTGTTGACCCTACTTGATTTGTGGAAAACTATCGGAAACCTGTGTGATATTTACTAGTCACAGCCTCAGAGCGTGAGAGCCGGTCCGCGGCAGCATGGTTGGCTGAGGTACAGATATAGAACCTTGGGCAGCCCCCGCCCGTCGATGTTGAAGTACATAGAGAACGTAGAACCGCCTCTGGATGCCTTGATGGCCAAGCTGGATACAAGTACTTCGATTGTTCCATGTCGCCTTGCCAAAAGCCGAGTAGGGACAAACCAGCTGGCTGATATCAAGGTGTGGACCTGCACGACTCACGGATGATACGGGGCGCCTTTGAAGACCACGGAATCGAGACAACCTGGATACTCTTCATCACGGTGAACACTCAGCCTGGCCAGCCTCCTGGCGCTAGCTGAAACCATCGGAGCAACCTGGACGGACCTGATGGTGGGCCAACAGGGCGGGTCATTGCTGGATGCGGTGCAACCTCAGTCGGTTTCGTTGCCGTCGGCCGTGCGATTGCTCTCGCTTGGCTGGCTGGCTGGCTAGCTGGCTGGCAAAGCTGTCCCGGACACCTACGCTATCGTCGACGATCCTTAAAATCCGACTTAGAGCATCCTTGATCTGTTGATTGGTGTCAGGGGCGTGGTGGCGACGCAGAGAGAGGCTGTGAGCCATGCGAAGACGGGGAACATTGGTAGGGACATGGTTCTGCCGAGATCGCGAAGATGGGTAGGCACCCGTCTCAGACTGAGCTCTGGAATGGCATTGCCTTGGGGCGAACAAGAGTAATTGCACTCTTGCTAAGCCTTTCGGAAGTTTCGCCCTTCGAAGGTAACGGAATGAAGCGTTCAAGAGCTCGCGCTCGGGAAGCCATGAAGTTGCTGGGTTGGACAGTCTTCCATTTTGGTGAGGAAATTCTTCTGGGCAGACCACAAGATTAAGAAAAAAATCCCCGTCAGAGCAGTCACTAGACCGGACCTGCTATGCGGGTCAATCACTGCAGGCCGAACTGGGGAAAAGCCCATGGAAGAAGCTGGAGTGGTCCACGGGGAATGGAAGCACTCGCACCTCCCGCGTTGCTCCAGTGCTACAGGCAGAGATGATACCATCGCACAGCAGCGTAATAATAAGTCTGCATGTGAGGAATTAGTACAAATACTCCCGAAAGGAAACCCCTTGGCAGCATACCAGGACGCCCTGCTCCCCGTCACAAGCATCACAATTCACTGCTTGCCCTAGATTCTCTCTGGCCGTCACACTTATCCAGGCTTTCCAACACCCTCCCCTCCCCCGACTTCCACGCATACTGCTGCTCCTCTTCCGAGCAGAGCAAGCCCAAGCCCCGCACCAACAAGCCATCGACCGTTGCCCAACGCTGCCATAGCCTCATTAGCCATCCATCCTCCTAGAGCGTCCACTGCACGCTCTACTTTTGCGTGTATAGCTGTTCCTCGAGTTATCTGTATTGATTTGGTTCAACCGTGACAGCATTGCAGCTTGATCGCAGTTCAGAGATGGGACAGCTGTGGGCTATTACTTATTGACTCTCTTCTGCGCTGGCACAGTCACGAGATGTGCTCTTGACAAATTTGCACGGATGCCTCGCAGATTCCTGGACAACCGAGACAACTCTGTCTGGTGGGAGGACATACAAGAACCGAGCTGCCGTAATCTCGATTCTCTAGAAGACATGTCACGTTTCCCAAGGATCAATCGAATTTCATAAATGCATCGCACTTGATTGGCACGCTATGTGTCAGTAACTCTTCGTTATCGAGCCACAGAGACCGTGACCTATCTGCCAAGATACCTCCCTCAATGACGTGACGAAACTACTCAAAGGATGCGAGCGCACATGCCGCCCTCCAGAGTGTCATCCTTGCCGTCTCAGTATCGCCATTCTCAAAAAACCAACCATCACACCGAAGGCAAGTCAGAATGCTCTTCGCCAACTCAGATGTACCACATCGTGCTCTTGAAGAAGTCGATGCTCGTCTGCTGGGCCAAACCTTCATCTCCGCCAATCTTCATCAGAGGCTTGGCTGGCTCCTCGGGGCCGAACGACGATGGCTCCGTTGTCGGCAGACCCTTGGCCATGAGGTTGAGGATCCTGACATCGGGATCCTTCTTCGAGGCCGCAATGTCCTCGTGCGCCCGGGCGCGGGCAGCGGCCAGGTGGGCGTAGTAGATCGCCGGGTGGATCGACACGGGAGTGGTCGAGCGGATGTACTGGTAGCACTGCTGGTAAATCATTGCCTGCAGCTTGTCGACAGGGTACTGGATCTCGTCGTGAAGGACGTGGTAGTGCACTGGCCGAGCAGTGCCCTGGATGGCGACGTGAGAACAAAGGTAAAAATCGAAGTGGAACGGGTGGGTGACCTCGTGCTCGATGATAGTGCCCGGCAAAGGGTTGCCATTCTTGTCGCCAGCGCCACTGCCCGGGAAGAAGCGGATGTGGTGGCGCTTGGTAGCGACAATGACCGTAATCTTGGGCTTGTTGCGACCAACTTCCTCGAGTACCTTGCGGATCTCCTTGACTTCATTCTCCATGACATGGGCAAATTGGCCCTCAGCCACGCCGTCACGGAAGTAGAAGACGTGCTCGGGGGCACGCTGGTTCTTCTGACACCACCGGCGAACGGCGCTGGGGAATATGGACTTGATGTTGTCCGGGGTGAGAATCTCCACGCGGTGGCCGTTGGTTTCGCACACGGCTTGGTATCTGATTGCGTCCCGATCCATGGACATGGTTATAGCAGCCATGGACGCCAGTGGTCCAGTCAGGCCTGCTGAACCGGCTCCACCGTGCGAGACGTCGCAACCGATGACCATCGTGGGGACCGTGTAAAACTGCACCTTGGCCAGCCTCGAGGTGTAGCCACCGAGCTTGGCGTTGACCTTCATGGCCACGTTGGAGCAGTACTGCGGCTGGCACTTCTTGACATGCGCGCATTGCACCATCTGGGAGAGCGTTGCAAAACGGATTTCCATGTTCTTCTTCAGCCGCTCGTACGGGACGGCGATCTTGTCATACATGACGAAGAAGATTAGGTCCGGGGTTCCCTTGCAGGCGTTGCCAGTCTGCATGTAAAGCTTTTGGATGTCGTCAGCAGTGACTTTGCTGATCTGCATGTTCAGCGGGAACACTTTGGGCTGCATCGTCTCAATCTTGCCGCCGTGCCTCCGGTAAGTGTCGGCAAATGCTGCGCCAAACCGCGAGGCCGTGGCGGCATCGCAACATCCGTCGACAACAATGATGGACCAGGACTTCAGAGGACGGGGGTTCGGCTCAGCGAAAACTTGGTCGCGCAAATCCCACCTGCCGCTGGTCTTTGGATCGATTGTCTTCCTTCCGAACTGGACCACTGGGTTTTGAAGAACACGAGCGGGCACGGGCTGCATCTGAGGGTTGATCTTGACGCCAAATTCCTTCAAGTAAGGGTCGTCGACCCATCGCAGGGACTTGACATTCTGCATGATCGCATTCTGTCGGACAGGGGGCCTCGTAACGGCGAACTTGATCATGGTTGACGTCTGCTCACCATCCAGCTTGAAGTTGTACCGCTGCCATGGCTTCATGATGACGACTTCCATGGGGAATACGCCGGCCCGAGTGGTCTCGATCAGAGGCCATTGCCAGTGGAACAGCCTGACATTGTACTGCTTCAAGAAGTAGTCAGCGACGGAGGTGGTTGTGCCGTCCCTCATCGTGAACCTGTAGTTGCGCGCATTGGCGCCCTCCATGCCGAACTTCTTTGGCTCCCAAACAAACTGCTTGATGGTATAAGTCTTCATATCGTTCGACTTGCCGCGGTGCATCACGTTGAAGTGGCACTTGTGGAAGCGCCGAAGCGCCTTGAACATCTCAGACATGCCTGGGATGTACTCCTTTGTGACCTGGTCCTGGTATTTATCTGGCTTCAGTCCTTCGCAGATGCGTTCTTTGTCAAAGTACTGCCACTCCTTCTTTGCCATGGCAACGTAGTTCTCGGCCAACTCAATGAACGGCTGACCTCCGCGCCAAAAAGCCGTGTTGGTCACATCGACATTGATCCCCAGGCCGAGGCCGCCGGACTTCATGGAAGAGTTCATCCGAATGGCGGCGTAGATGCCCTTCACGGCATTGACGGTACCTCGGCGGTTAAGAGGCTTGTATTCTGGCTGCTCGGTGTTGTAGAAGTTGCGCTTGATGGCCAGCATGTTCTCTGACGGGAATTGGCGCACCAGGTGGTCGAAGAAGTTGGCACAGGCCAGGACTGACTGGTCCCATTCAATCTGGCCCTCAAGGTAGGACTTCAGCGAAACAAGGCGGATTCTGGTGCTGCGCCTGATGTAGAGGGTAAAGGTGTTGTCTTGTCCAGGCCGAGTCATCTTGTTCTTCTCCGCGTCCATGTCAATCCTGATTCGCATTTCAGGGATGTTGTTCCGAGACCATGCTAAGGCACGGCCATCGTGGAGCCACTTGAACTCGAAGGGTCCGTATTTGTCGTCGACTTTGAGCCTCCGCTGTACAGTCTTCGTGTTCCAGAGCTTGTTCAAGAATGAAGGCCTGATCTTGCCGGTGTCCGGGCTGAAGCTGACCTATCATAAACCGTCAGAGAAAGCACAAGTATATAAGGAGGTTGCTGTTACTTACATCGTATTGAATAATGTCATGAGCAGGCATTCCGGTAACACGGAACTGGTTGACCTGCACGTTGATCTTCCTTCCGACGCTGCCCAGACCGGGGCGCTTGGTGAAGGGGGCATCGAGCTTGCCCTGAGGAGAGTGTCAGTGAACAACCCAGCAACGGCCTGTTCCGAAAAGAATGGCTTACCTGGACATATGCCTCAGGTGGCAGATCGAGGTTCTTGTTGAAATCCTCGCCGAACTTCTTGGGCTCTCGAGCAGGGTCGAAGCCAAGAGGCTCGGGGTAGCCCCGCGGCGGAGAGCGACCGCCCACGTTGCTAGATGGGCGGCTGCCCACAGGACCGGAGGGAGCGCCCATATTGCTAGGTGGGGCAGACCCCGGAGCTTGGGAGCCCGGGTGGGAAGCGGACACATGAGAGCCGCTGACCTGGGAGGTGCGACGCGAGTGCGAACGCGAGCCACCGCCAGAGTGGTGAGAGCCCTGGGAGCGGGTGTCGGAGGGGCCATCAAAAGATGGGACCTGGAGGTAGCCACCTGGGTAACGAGGCATGTTGTCTGGAGTGGTAAATGTCTGTGTGTGAGATGATGTCAGATGCTGAGAGCGGTCTTGGAGGTTGGAAGTGAATGGCTCAGAGATAGGGTGGGTGGCTGGGCCAGGATGGCAGACGGGGTTTAAGAAGAGACGAAACTGCACGAGTTGTGGATGTGGCGATGAAAAGGCGCCAAAAGAGGAATGCTCGGGAAGATGGAAGAGGAAGTTTGCGGAGTTTTCAAATGCGAGAAGTCAGGAGAGGATTAGAGAGCGACCACCCACTGAAGCAGGTGCAGATGAAAACCTGGGATTGATTGTGCAGGGACAAGGAGGGATAGTTTGGAGAGAAGCCCAATCTGTTTTGCTAGATGATGGCAAACACTTGTCTTGGGGTTGCTGCGTGAGGAGGGGGGAAGAAGGCAGAAGGCAAACCGACAGTTGTTGATTGCGCGAGTGAGGTGAACGGCGAGAGAGATGGGGCAAAGTAGGGAAACAAGGTAGCAGGCAAGTCGAGTACAGTGGAGCTTACCTTGATTGACTTGAAGAGGTTTGTGGGCGCTGGATCTGATGAGCCGTTTGTTGGCGGGAGTCTGGTGGACAGGGTCAGTAACGAACGAGAGGAGCGGTCTCTGCTGAGAGTGGTGAAGAAGAAGACAGCAAAGTGCTGGAGTGAGAGAAGGGATTGACGCGTCAAAATGACGCAAGTCTCGTAGGATAAGTCAAGACAGACTCGAGAAGAAAGGAAAAGTTTACCAGTCAAGCTGCGCGAAACGGAACGGGTGATTGAGGAAGCCGCTGAAAGAGCTTGTTGTGTCGACAACGATGGAAGGTTCAAGACAGGTACTGGTAGCGTAACAGCAGGGGAAGGGGGCAGGTGTACCTGGCAGGTGGAAGGTTGGTAGGTCGAGGTCAGTGGCAAAGGAGGTGGGCACCCAAGCTGAAGGAGGAGTATGAGTGATGGGAAGATGGTACGGCAGAAGAAGTTTCAAGGCAGGGGGAAAAGTAAACAGTCAAGGGGAGAGCTCCGTGGTAGATTGAGGCAGCACTGCTCGCTAGGCAACTGAAAGCGGCGGCCATCGTTGACGTGTTTCTCAACCAGCAGGGCGGAGTGAGGCACACTTTGGGGTTGGTTTGGACGAGACTTCTCCAAGTTGCCAGGGAAACTAACTCACTGCGAGTGTATGCGTGTTTGTGCGCGTGCTGAGGTGACCCAGAAGCTTGCTAAAGACGAGTGTGATGTGTGATGATGGAACGGTGGGGCATTGACTTGGTAATGCTATGGGCAGATTGCTCGAGGTGAGAAGCCTGTTTTGCTTACTTCGTTCGTGATGTAGATGGTTTGACTGGCGAAGTTTGGGAAGGTGGTGAGCTTGATGCGAAGCTTGAAGACTGATGGGCCTCAGTGATCAGGGTTGGGGGAGGAGAAGGGGAAAGAAGAGAAGTCAAGTGGCAGGTTGCACTAGATTTGAGGAGGAAAGTGCTCGCTTACCTGAGTGCTGTCTGCTTTGAGGCAGGGCGGTTGGTGCTTGACTGATGGTACTGAGTTCCAAGCCAGGTTGGTGTTGAGGAAAGAAAAGGTTGTCAGCTCTGAAATTGGGAAAGGGAGAGGGTTTAAGTATTCCTGGACAGAGTGGGCAGAGACGGTTAGTATCGCAATGCTCTGATGGGTTGGGATCGAAGAATGACTGACTTCGAAAAGAGAATGGAACGGACAGTAGAAGCAGTGCAGGGGAGGGAGTTTGGATGGAGAGTCAACGATTCTGGTTGGCCCTCAAGTCTCGCCGTCTGAACTTGAATGGGGAAACTTTAAGCAGCAGCCTAGATCCAGCCAGTTACGACCATGGGCAGACTGACAATGGCTAGCACTCATTTGTTGTCCAGCATGTATTCAGAGGAACTCACCAGTGTTGGCAGTGTCACTGAGAAGCTGGAGCAGGCTTCGATCACAAGGCTCAATGCAGAAGGCGACTATGGAAATGCGAAAACCGGGCAGCCTCGAAGCCAACGGGAGGCCCCAACTACCATGGACTCGAGCAGCATATGTCCATGAGGAATTTGATTACGAGAAGTCTACACATATGAGGAGTACTGCTCATGCTAGGTTAAAGAGCATCTTAGGGGTCTTGTTTAATTGAAGTAGACTAAAACCGTAAATATCATCGAAAGGTCTTTCTTGGCCAGTCTGGATTGGAACCACTCGACAAACTGCAGCATGACGCCCTCAACAGGCCGGCAGTAATTTGGGAGGTTGTGCAAACAAGAAGCAGTAAAACACAAGAGTACGTGTACAATGCCGTCGGTAGCGTGCCAGTGCTGTTTGCCATATGAATGATCGAGATGGCCCAAACTGAATACAGGATTCTGCGTCTATTGAAGGTGGGACAGACAACGAATGAAGCTTTCCACCCCACTAAGCGCACTTGGAAGGTGATCAAGCGATCGGTTTGGCGAGAGCCGAAGACTGTGAGAGCAGGAACATTATCTCCAATTATCTCGGTGTGGAAGTGTATTGTTGTGCAGGACCCGGGATTAAGCAATGGACATCTTGCACGCGGGAAACCCACCAGCTGGTTGCACACGTGCCAGAACAACAACGGGGGAGGGGGATACTGTCTTCAGAAAAGTCAGTCGGCGGCTGGGAGGCGGCAGAGTGCAAAAGAAGACGCCCGCGGACGTCGCAAGATCCGAGTCCAGATTTCGATAGTCTTGACAAAGGTACGCCGTGGGTTGGGAATCCTAGATTCATCTTCCGTGTAAAGAAAGCAATGAAGGTGTCTACCAACTGCCTAAATTTGCTACATAGCATTGTCCGCGGCATCCAACGAGGTAGCAAGGTGCACTCAGCAACCATCTCAATCTTGCACAGCTCCGAATCGACATTCGGAGCTGGGTGACAGTCTTCGAAGAACCGATAGTGACGGCAAATGGCTTTGCTCTCGTTTTACCAAGCAAACCCCCATCAAGTTTAGAATATGCGAGATCCACTGAGCGCGAGGATTCGGAGAATGTCAGAGGCACGGAAGTGTGAGATATCCGACAGTGGCAGCAGAGTGGCACTACGGCGAAGGGTCAAGAGCGTCGTCTACCGGAACGCAGAAGAAAAAAAGTCTCGGAACAATCCAAATCACCAGTGGAAGGTCCCGAGCAGTATTGCCCCGAGCCTACATAAGGAACATGTGGCAGACATCTTGAGAAGACTAGGTGCATGTGTGTTGCTTCTTGCACACAGCTGAAGCAGCTGACCTCTTGCTTGCTGTAAAGCCGTTGCAACTGAGAAGACTCAAATACTTCAAGTTCCTGTAGGGTCCGTGGCGGAAGGTAATGAAAGGCGGCGTGTCAGATACCACTACACAGTGTACCGTCCATGATTTTGACTTTTCAAGAAAGACGGTACAAGTCTAACGGCACTGCGGAAATGATGGCAATGATTTGTGCTTGATCTGTAGCTGAGCTCCCCGGTCGCCCCCTCCCCCTCCCCCTCCCCGACTGGTGTCAGTGTTATAGAAAGTGACTGCAAAGCTCCTCCTGAGGATTGTGGAGATAAATCAGTAAGGGTCTCAACGGCACTACTTGAACATAGCCACAAAATGGTAAGCCTCAGAGTCGCCCATTGTGACATTCTCGCACATGCGCAGCAACAGGCGGGATCACAAGTTCCATGAGATGTTCATCCATTATCTATCTCACTACCTTCGCATGATGTGATTTTCCTAATCAAAGACCCAGGTGCATGCTGGTTTTCGATAATCGTCATCGATCTTTCGGAACCCAGCACATCCTGTACTGCAAGCCATCAGACCATACCATGGGGTCGTTCGTTGACTTGTCATCTCTTAATCGAACAATGACTTTCAGACTCGCCCACCCGATGCAATTTTGTCACCTGGAGACTCCTTTCCATCCTTGAACTCCGGCCGAGAAAACAGCGCAGGCCAAAACAGGCAGCTGAGCCCCCCTTTCCTTTTTATTAGTACATGGCGCATTCGATCGGAATGCTTTTGTCCCACCGAATGCGATGACCCAGCCAAAATGAAACCGTGGAAATCAAACTCGGCCCAAGTCCGAGTATTGCGAGACCTTCCGTAAACTGCATACTCCTGCCAGCAGCCCCTGTCAATCCGTAGAATCAAATCTTGCTCGAACGCAATACTTGTTAGTGCCGATCAGAGTCGACCTTTGAAGGTGGCTGACGGGGTCGAAGGCTTTGTTGCCGCTCGAAACTTGGCCAATGCAGCAAGAAGCAGTTTTGGTCCCGGAACCACGTCTCCCCGTCTCCCCGCCTCTCCACACCAGGACCTGTTGCTCAGCCTAGTAATAGCGACCATTGTATTGGTCGTGCTGCGGAGGACCTTGGCCAAATGGAGGGGTTGGAACAGTGTATTGAGCCTGGCCTGGAGGAGCGCCATAAATTGGCGGTGGCCAGCTTCCGTCAGGAGTGGGGACCATTGATGGTGGAGGACCGTATCCCATCGGCGGCGGTCCAGCCGGCGCGGTTTGCCCGTACACTGCAGCCGGAGGCGGTGGCTCGTAGCCCGAGCCACTAGATCCCGGACGGAGAGACGACTGTCTGTAAGTAGCAGCAGCAGACGCGATCTGTCCACGGCTCGCGCCAAAGGGACTCTGCGGCCGGGGAGAGTTGCGGCCCTGGAATGGGTACTGGCTGACGTCGGCGGAAACCTGGCGAGCATGCGACGGTGGCATCCGCGCTCCGTTGTCGCGGATACCCCGGTCCTGGTTGCTCTTCCAAGAGGCAAAATCCGGAACGGGGATCTCCCGAAGGAACCGTACCATGTTGCCCGAGTCAAACCGAGGGAAATCATAGGCCGAGGATGGCGGGATTTGGCTCAGGAGGAAGGTGATGTCGCGAGAGATGGGCGCGGCTTGCATGCGATTCTGCTGATTGAGACGCCTGCCAGCTGCGCCCTTGAGCGGCGACTCGCCCCGCTGCATTTTGCGGGGAGGGTTCAACGAGTCGTCGAAATCCTCGACTGGCAGAGGTCGCTTTGGCGAGTTGACGAATTGTGGGCGAGGGCTATTCGGCTGTCGAACAGAGGGGCGGGGGCTGTTCAACACGGACCCTCGTTGCTCAATCGAGGGCATGATGTTCTTGGGGCGCAGCTGAGCAGATGGTGACACAATGATGCGAGCTGCGATTGGATCGAAGTTTGCTGTTGCAAAGCGTGCCTTGAAGTGAGCCAGTTTAGGATCTTCAGGGAAAAGTTCGGCCATGCGCTGCTCCAGCTTGACGAACTGAGACCTGTCACCAAATTGTGACTCGTACTTGTGAAAGTAGGCAAACAAGGCCTTCGCCTTTTCGACGGAGCCGGGTTTCTCTACCATCCTCTTCACACAATTTTCGAAGACGACTCTGGCATCTGTGTTTTCTGTTAGTTTTTTCTCGAACACATGATTGCCAAATATCAACTCACTTGTGAAGTCATCCCTCGAATGAAGGAACTGGAGGTATTCGACCATGAAGAACTCGTCCTCAGGGAAGAGCCTAGCACCTCGCTCAAAGATCTTGACGCCAGCATTGTCCTTGTACACCTTCCACTCCATGAGAGCGATGGCCACGTAGACGTCGCTCGTGAGGCGGCCCCTCTGACGGGCATCTGTGAAAACCTGGCGCATACCGCCGATTGCGCTACCCACGACGCCTTTGCCTTGGACACGGCGCATCGCTCTTGCGAGAGCAATCCAAACAAAAGAAATGGTCCGAGACAACACATTCGTCCGAGCCGAGAATCCCTGCTCAATGGCCTTGATTTGGGCCTGTTTCGCGGCATTTCTGGCGTCTTTCTCTTCCGACGCGCCTGCGTCCTCTTCGTCATCTGCAGACCCTTGGGGTCCAGAATCAGACGCATTGTTCTCGTTGATCTTTTCGATGACCGCCTTCTCCTGGTCCTTGGCTTTCTTTACCAGGTCATACAGCGTATCCAAAACTTTATTGTAAGGGGCCTTGATGGCATTGCCGCGGTTGGCCTTGGCTTCATCCCCCTCGATAACAGGATGAGTGGCCTCGATGCGGTCCGCGTGCTTGAGAGCTAACAAGACACTCTCTGGATTAGCCTCAATCCCCTGCAGCAGGAACTCAAGGCCCGTATCTCTTCCATCCGGGCCAACCATTTCGTTGTCGAAGCACCACTCGGCAGCATCAACCCACATGTCTGGCCAGAACCGAAGGGCCATCAAAGCCTGCTGGTACACGTAGTGCACCCTCTTCTTCCAAGCGATTGGGTCTTCTGTCTTCAAGTCAAGGGGATCCGATTGCTCATAGCTGATCCACTTCTTCCACAGCTCGATCTGCTCGGTGTAATCATCATCGCCTTCAAAGCCAGGCGCAGGCGGAAGCCGCGGAAGGTTGGTACGTTGTAGCCCTCGAGTGATGTTGTCCAAGGCCATGTTGGTGCTCTTGGCAGACATGTAATTCGGGGAATGTTGGGCGAGAAGCGCCCGTCCTACCTTCTTGTCGATTCCCATTTCGAATTGATCGTACTCGCGCCAAAGGGTGTTGAGGTTCCGAGTGGGAATGGCAATGGCTCGCTGATACGTCTTTCGAAGTTGGTCCATCTTCTGCCGACTCGCCCAGTCGGTCTCCCCAACCTGGCCTGGCCCAGACTTGATGAACTGGATGTACTCCGCCCAAATTGGCCCGGAATCCTTGTCCACGCCGACACTGCTGAGGACAAACTCGAAGCACTGCGCGATAGTCTCCCGAGCCCGACCCGTCGTGTCGCTCAGATCGTTGCGCCGTCGGATGTAGTCAAGATACACGGTCCACAGCCTCACATTCCGGATAGTTGGCAAAGTCCTCTTGAACAGCTCCTCTGCCCCACCAAAATTGTTCATGCTCAGCTCCAACTCCATGTACGCCGTCCATATATCCGCCTGAGTCTTGTCAGCGCAAATTCAAGCAGCTCTTTTTTTTTTTGTGGGGGGGGGGGGGGACTTACCGACTGTGGGAAGACAGCCAGGAATCGCTCGTACACAGACCGAATGCTCTCGATATTGTTTCGCGCCCTCAGTTCGGCCATGAGGTCCAGCCAGGCATCCATAACCCCGCGAGGGTCCTCCTTGATGCGAGCCTCAAGTGCGGTGACAACATCCTGGGGAGGCTTGACACCGTTGTTGACGGGCTCGGACGGGGCAACAGCGCCACTGTTTGGTTCCTCGACCGACACAGCTGGGGCATTATTCGCCTGAGAAGTTGGGGGTACATTAGACACAGCTCCCTGGGCTTCCTGGACAGGAGTGGAAGCATGAGGGGAAGAGTGAGAAACAGATTGAGAAGCTTGGGTTGGCTCAGCAACGGCACCATTGGACGCAGGAGCAGGCGTTGAGGAGTCATCGTCCTCAGATTCGGAGTCTCCCACTAGGAAACCTCCGGCCGTCTTGCGCTTCTTGTTGGCCGGCTGAGGAGCAGGCTGAGGGGCAGGCACCTGGGACACCTGCTGGCCGACGAGCGGCAGTGGAGTCACAGAGACCGACTCTGGGTCGTATTCACCCACATCTTCGGAAGCGCCATCAGGGTTGGGTGCGGAATCACCAGATGTTTGAGGGGCTGCGGAAGCAGAAGCGGAAGCGGAACGATTCAAGTCTTGGTCTTGTGTGTTGTCACTAAGTTGTATATTCTCATTGCCTCCCTCGACATCATTGTCGCCATCACTCTGAGCCCATGTGTTCTCCTCGACAGCTTCGCTCGCCATAATTGCGATGTGTGTGCTGGTCGTGGGGGATTCGCAGAGGGGTAGGTTGGACAGCGGACGAATGGTTACGAAGATCGGCGCTCTTCAGTAACGGCTTGCGTCGCAGTCGCGCGCGCGAGGATTGGTCGCCGCAACGAAACAGGTGATCGCAGTATCTAAACGAAGCACATCGAAATGGGGTGGAGAGCGGTCAGTCGGTCTTTGACAAAGGACGGCCGTTTGGGGCTGCGGCAGCGGTGGGTGGCGGACAGGACAGTTGCTGGCCCTTCACAACAGGACAAGCCTTGAGAAGGGAAAACGACTGGTTGGCAACAAGCAACAAGGGAGCGAGTCGAAGAAAAAGATAGACAGAACTAGAAGAAAATGAAGGCAGAAATGATTAGACGCTGGCTTGGAGATGCGATCTTTGTTGGTTGGAAGCCGAGCTTGCTGGGTGAAATAGGAAACGCAGCTGGTCGAGGTAGGTCGTGCAGAATATGTCCGGTGGTTGACACCCGGCCTGGCAGCGTGTTTTTGCGACCAGCTTAACCTGGGCCTGGGCAGCTCCGGTGAAAGAGCTGGACTCCTTGAAGTGGGACCCATGGAGAGACTGCCTGCCGGAGACGGCATCTAAGCTTCCCAGGTCACGCTAAGAACCCAGAATACTACCAATCACGCCAATTCACGTCAGTCCTGATGCAAGTACCCAGGTACCTTGTCATGATGGATCAGGGCCCCCCAGCCCCTGTCCCCCTCAGGCGCGACCTTCCGCCACCGCCCTCCATTAAACGCGGTCTTAGAGACACAAGAAGAGTGGAGGCGCGTCGTTGCTGCTCCAAGCCACCAACTTTGACTTGCACTCCAGCACTTATCTTTGCTTGAAGACCCGACTCTCTCCTTCCCTCCTTCTTCTCTACCTCCACCAGCTGACAATCACAACTACATCAACCACAGTCGCAGCGATACATTTGCCCTTTGTGGCTGTCGTGGTCGTCCTGCTTGTTCTAAACACCACAGTCGCATCGCCGTCGAGCATTCTGTGCATCAGAAAGCAGCATTCCCAGCAGCTTCACGCCGAAGCAAGCAACACAACAAAGCACTTAACGCGACCATCATTTCCACTCTGTTCCCTTTAACCGCCCACCATGTCTGTCGTGTCGCTTCTCGGGGTCAATATCCTCAACAACCCCGCCAGGTTCACCGACAACTACCAGTTTGAGATCACGTTCGAGTGTTTGGAACAGCTTGAGAAGGGTGAAACTCCCATCAGCCCCCCTTCCCCGCCCGCAAAGCCTGGCCGCTTCTGACTACCGTCTGCAGATCTCGAGTGGAAGCTGACCTACGTCGGCTCTGCTACCTCGTAAGCCTATGTCACCGTTGACGCGACCCGTACTCGAAGGTCTCTGTACTGACACAAAGGCCCCCATCAGCGATCAATATGACCAGGAGCTGGACACGCTGCTGGTAGGACCAATCCCTGTCGGCGTCAACAAGTTCATTTTCGAGGCGGATGCCCCTGATACTAAGCGCATCCCCGACGCCGAGGTCATGGGTGTGACGGTCGTGCTCCTGACTTGCGCCTACGATGGCCGAGAGTTTGTGCGCGTGGGATACTACGTCAACAACGAATATGAGTCTGAGGAGCTCAACGCCGATCCTCCCGCCAAACCCATCATCGAGAAGATTCGTCGCAACATTCTTGCTGAGAAGCCCCGTGTGACTCGCTTTGCCATCAAGTGGTATGTACTGCTCCGCATCTGTTCCTCTCATAGTGTAGTGGACTTCATTTGACGCCTTTCTCCCACTCACCCAGGGACAACGATGCGACCGCCCCTGCCGAATTCCCTCCTGAGCAACCAGAGGCCGACCTCGCTCCCGATGATGAGGACTACGGTGCAGACGAGGCCGAGGACGATGGCGAGGAGGCGGCCGGAGTCGCTCCCTCCAACGGCGAGCCTTCTGCCGCTGGCGGGGACGCCGCTATGGCCGGCATTACCGCCGAGAATGGCGAGCACGCACGTGAGGACGATGAGATGTCTGAGGACGGTAGCGTGGACATTGATGGCGAGAGTGAAGACGAGATTGAGGAGGAGGAGGAGGAGCTGGAGGGCCAGCCGGCCGACGGAGACGGCATGGATGTCGACATGGATGATGCCCCGGATTCTGGTTAGTACTCCAGGATTTCTTTGCCTTGCTATGCAACGTTGGGGGTGGCTTTGCGAGGTTTCAGAGACATTTCGGGGCCACTCACACCGCCCCTTCTTTGTTGGAAGAAGTGGAAATAGTGTACTGACAGAGCATCAGGTGCGCAACACCCGGAGGTCATGGCCCACTAACTGCACAGTTTTCTCATTTTAACCTCACTTGTCCGGCGTTACCTTATGTCATGATATCCCCTTACTTTGATCAGAGTTGGCAAAACACTAGACTCAGGATGATGGATGGTTAATGCATTATGAAAAATACATACAGTACGACTGTTGATGGGGTCACAGCAGGTCTATGGATTTGGCAGACGACAGGCAGGCTTCACTTGTCCTAGACTTCAGAACCAAGATATGGGGTGGCATTGCGCTGTCTTCAGACTAAAACCCGAGTCCAGAATTGTAATAGACCTCCCTTCCTCCGTGTATTTTTCGGTGAAAGCTTCATTGCGAAGTTGGCGGAGTGATCGGTCTGTAGCCAAGTGCTGGACTACTAGAGCTATGATGACTCTCTGCCTGACTTCCAGCCGAACTGTCTATGATTCCTTTGAACGAACGAGGCGTGACCCGCGTAGTCGGTGCCCTTCTCAGCCTGGCCCGTTGCGAGACCGGAGGTTGCTCTGGGCTTCCCACAGGCTATCTTCCTCTATGCTGGTGACGTAGGCTCTGGGAGTCACGCCGCCCGTTGAAAGGGGAGGCTCTGCAAAGTGATGGCGGAGTTGAGAGATTTAGGGCGAACACCTTGGGCGAATCGGTAACAGAGGGATCGCTTCCGTCCGACGCCAGCACGCCTCGCTGCTTACATCCCCCCACGCCTGTGTGTGCTCGTCTTGGCATCCCCCGGAGCCATGCCGCCTTGGGTTGGCTGGGCGAGCCAAACGGGGCTGGACAGCTGAACAAGGAACGGGCGTGCTCCTGCAACGCCCTCATAGGACTTGGGCGTCTACTGCTTGGTCAAGTGACTGGAATGCCGCTGCTGCTGCGTCTCGGTCCTGTCCTGAATCGGCAGCCGATTCAAGGCACCCGCGGTGCCAGATTGCGGCTGAGCTCCAACACAACCCAATGACAGGCATGGCACCATCTGCCGTGCTTTGGGTTTGAAAGGGAGAGGAGCTCAGTGAGGCTTGAGGGCAAGCTCGGCTGGTGATGGCCAGCTCGCAGAGCTGCGCAAGGCCGGTAAATAAGTAAACCCTCCTGTCCTCCGTTGAAGCATCTGGATAAATCTTTGCTCTCGTCTTGTTTCCTCGCACTCCTCTATCTCTCACGAAACTTCGGACCGCAATGGCATCTACCCACCAGAGGAGTGTTGATGAGCTCTTCCGCTCCGTGGAGCGCTCCCAGGAGCAGTACCTCAGAGACCTCAGAGCCTTGCTCGAGACTAGGAACGGCCACCGTGGGCATGTCGCGCCCGGGAGTCAGCGCATGGAAAGGACAGGGAGCAATGACAGATCACCCCAGTCCCCCAACCTGAGGGCGGTTCCTACCTCTGGAGACACGACACCCGTGGCGCTCTCAAGAGCGACCTTCCCCAGCGAGACAGCCTCGTTACAAGTCAGTCCCGCCGACAGACGACCCCGACGACTCACCAACGAGCTGGCAGACCGGAGGCGATTTACCAATCTGACCAATGAGGTGTTGGACGGTTCAGGGTGGGAGAGTGACGATGATTCCGGCAGCTTCACGCCGCTGCCTCTGCTGCCGCAAACAATGGCCCGGAGTGCGTCGCTCCCGGTAGAGTCGAGTTGGTGGCCGCGTGTCCAGAAGCCTTTGACACGGAGATCATACACACGCCCCGACCTGGTTCGCCATCTGAAAAGTATCACGGATGACAAGGAGGCGACCGTCGCGGTGCTTGGGGAGGTCATCCGTCAGTGCGAGGCATCGACGCTGTTTGGCAGTGACTCGGACTCCTTGATTGCTGATAATGTGGCTTCTACTTACGAGGTCTATGATATCGACAGGAATGGACAGTCAACCACTGTGCATGATGATCGAGGCACTGCCGAGGATGAAGTGCTCGACCCAGCTACCGTGTGGGAGACTATCAAGGTGTGTGCCAATGCGGTGATTATCCACAGAGATCTCAGCGCGCTGACCGGGCAGTAGGACGTCAATCTTGACGACAATGCTGTAGGGCGTGTTACGTCAGTGAGACAATCCCTTATTCTGCTCGAATCAGCATTCTGACAATTGCTTCTAGAGTTTTCCAGGAGCCGTCACCTCCCATTCTTGCGGGCATCCACCTCGCAATGAGCAAGCATTTCGACATGGACGAGTTATTTTCCCACCTCGTGTCTCCCCATGGAAACCAGGGCAAGACTACTGCGTACATGCACAGAGCAGCTGAAGCGAACCCTATACACCAGAGTACCTTCTTTATTGTTTTCAAGTACTACACTGTGGTAGGCGAGGGTCTCACACCGGCACCCTGGCAGCAGTACGACCACCGCCCAGCAGACAAGAAGGCTCCAGACCACATCAATATCACGGAGTGCAGCTCAATACTAGCCCTTGCGTTGGAAGGAGAGCCTGTCGGCAAGGTGCCCCTACGAAGGGGCCGGAGAAAGGGCTCAAAGCTTGGTTCTGTTTACGACACCTTTGCCCCATATCATCTGCTCAATATCCAGTGCTTCCCAGATCATATCCACGCGGAGAACGAGTCTATCAGAAAGCCGTGCTACTACAATGGGCCATATGTATTCCTGAATCGTCTTGTCGCCGAGTACAAGGACGCGACGAAAAGGTACCTGCAGCTCAACGATCGGATCGAGAAACTGATCACTCCTCCGGTACGCTCTCTTCCTACAGGCCAGGCAGTAGCCCACAATTGATTCCTGAATATTACCGCTACTAACATCAGCTCATCGCACAGAACCAATTCATGTTTGACGTCAAGCTCCGAGACAAGCTGCTGTTCGAGGACGCGGACTTCACCTTCAGCCGGCGGTACTTCTGGGCCTACAACTCCCTCGGCGTCATTAACGACGGCATCAAGTCCATGATCAACGCCTACACGGACACCTTCACGCCCGAGTTCTGGGCCGGGCGCGACCGGACACTATGGCCGCACCCGGACCCGGACAGCGCCGAGGGCAGGAACTACCTGTCGCAGCTGGGCACGCTGCGCCAGGAGCTGGAGCAGGTCATCGAGGACCTGAAGCAGGTCTTCAAGGCGAACGAGCTCGTCAGGCAGGAGATCGTCAGCCTGCGGGAGCAGCTCTTCAGCGGGAGCTCGGTCAAGGAGAGCCGTAGGGCCATCGAGCAGGGCGACAACATCAAGATCCTCACGGGCGTGTCGATGCTGTTCCTGCCTCTGACTTTTGTCACGGTGAGTAAGCCTCTGGGAGATATCCTCCTTGGATCATTTGATCTCAGGAAAATTCCGAGTGGTTTGTCTAACTGCCGGGTAGTCTGTCTTCGGCATCACGGAGTTCACGTTCTCAGCCAACGACTGGCGGTTTCCTGTTACTAGTATGCGGTTTTCTAGCATTCTTCCTTGTTCTGGTGCACATGCCCACCCCCGGCTCTGTTGGATCACAGCTTGCGAGATCAATGATGGGTGGACTTCGTCTTCTCTTACATGCCAAACTCCTACTTGGATTTCTTCCGTGGCTGACTTCAGGAATGTAGTGGTCGGAGTCTGCGTCCCCTTCTTCTTACTAATATTCGTACTGCAAACCCGCGCCGGAATGCGCGCAGTCCGCCAAATAGGCGACTTCATCGAGGGCAACATGGGCAGGTGGAGCGACCGCTCGCGGAGCCGCCACGAGAAACGGCTCCAGCTCCAGCAGCAGCTCTTGCAGGCGGCCGAGTCCCAGGCCGCAGTCGTCGGCGGGAGAAGGCGGATGAGCCTGAGGAGGGGTACGAAGCGGCGCAAAGCCAGCGCTGCCGGCCTCCCGACGAATGGGGTGGCGAATGGCGTTTTTGTGCCGGCTCAGCAGAGGGGCAAGTGGTGGGTGCGGCTGAGGAGGAAGGAGGAGACCTCCGCTGGGCAGAACGGCTTGATTGTGTAGGGTTTTGATAGAGGTCCTGAGGTGAGGACGCTCTCCTGAAGATACCCTCTCGGAGTTAGGTGTCTATGTTGATAATTCACATACCAATAACATCACATCGGTATCCCAAGGTTGGTATTTCCCGAGGTAATATGCTTGAAGTGGTACCGCGCACTGACTACAGATAAACTTAGCCACGGGGCCGACCCAGAGCGAGAACGGCCTGGGCACGGCAAGATTGCGATGGCGTGATTCATTATTCGACTGACCTCACGTTGTGGCTCCTAGGGCACTTGGCCTACGTGGGCGAACGTACGATCTGACCTCCATTGGGCAGCCGACGTCTTCCAGGTTTTGTCTCTGCCGCATGTGCATGCGCATGCGCATCTCTTGGGTTGATTGTTGGGTTGGTGGTATAAGAGAAATGTTCCCCGTGCGGGTGGGGACCGTCGGCGCCCACGCATTCCAGTCCCAATTACAACAACCACAATGAACTTGGCACAGTACCCGAGGGTCTGGCTGCGACAACTGAAGAAGCTCGGCGGTTGGCTCGCCCCGCCTCCACCGAAATCCGAGGATGGGCGTGATCAGTGGCCGTCGAGGGCGGCGTTCCTCCTTGCTGCCATGGGCGGCTGTGCAGGCCAGGGAAACCTGCTGCGATACCCCTCTGTCGTCTACAACAACCACGGTCTTCAGTGGTTCATCCCGTACCTCATCGCCGTCTTCCTGATCGCCATCCCGGCCCTCATCCTCGAGGTCTCCATCGGCCAGGCCTACCGCGGCGGGACGGTCATCGCCTTCAACAATGTCAACAGGAGGCTGAAGGGTGTCGGCATGGGGCCCGTCTTTGTCAGTTTCATCGTCGTGCAGTACTTCACGGTCAACCTGGCCTGGATCATGACCTACTTCCGGCATTCCTTCACGAGCCCCCTGCCGTGGGAGGGCCAGGTGACTGACTTTTACATGGGCACGGTCATCGACAACCCCGACCCGGTCACCGGCAACCTGACAGCCGGCAATGCTGAGGTCTCGGCCTACACCGAGTACAGTGGCGTGCGTGTGCTGGGCGAGACGGTGGGCTGGAGCGCCTTCGTCTGGTTCCTGATATGGGTCTCCATCGTCCGCGGCGTCGGCATGACAGGCCGTGTCGTCTACTTCACCATGGGCCTGCCCATCATCACCACCATCATCTTTGTCGGCCGCGCCGTGTCTCTGCCCAACGCTGGCGCCGGGGTCAGGCTGCTTTGGGCCACCTGGAGGGGTGATCAACTGGCGTCAGGGACAGTGTGGCAGACTGCTGTTGGGCAGGTCTTCTTCTCCACCGGTATCGGTTTCGGCTACTTCACTTCCTACGCCTCGTACAACGCCAAGTATTCTAACGCAGTCATGGACGCCATCCTGATCTGTAGCAGTAACGTCCTCTTCGAGAACGTCGCCGCCTTTGCCATCTTCGGCGTCGTAGGCTTCCTTGAGCTTTGGCCCGAGCCAGGCGAGCGGCTGGGGGCTTTTGTGGTGGGCTTCTTGACGCTCCCAGAGGCCGTCATCCAGATGCCCGGCGCAAACTTCTGGGCCGTCCTGCTGTTCTTTACCCTCATCGTCCTAGGCTTCAGCTCGGCGTTTGTGATGCTGGATGTCGTGGCGACGCTCATTTGTGACTCAGGGCTGGTGAAGGTATCGCGGCCCACCGTAGTCACCGCGTTGACACTCATCTCGTTCCTCATGTGCCTGCCCTACTGCACTGAATTCGGCTTCTACCTCCTCGACGGCATCGACCGGTGGATCAACAATGTTGCCTTGATCTTCGTGGTCTGGTCGGAGGTCGTCAGCTCCACCACTGTGTACCGCTGGGAGGACGTAGTCGCGCAGACGGGCCTGCCCGCTTTTGTTCTCTACAATGTGGGATATATCGGCGGCCAGATTGTTGGCGTCTCTGTTGCGCATGGTGCCAGTATCCCGGCGGCCGGAGCTGGGGCCGGTTTCGGGCTTTACATTGTCTGCTCCCTGGTGGCAGTGTTGATCGCAAAAACCCCAGATTCTGCCGCCGCTCGATTTTGGAAGGCCAATGAATGGACAAGCCGGTTCTGGTACTTGGCATTCTATTCAGTAGGTTTTGAGTAGTTGACCTTTCCGGTTGGACATGAGCTGATTTCGTCACAGGGCAACCAACTCCGGCGTGACCTCAACCTGGTAGTCGGGCGCGGCAAGAACTGGAGGATTCCGACCTTCTGGCCGGTCCTGCTTCGATACATAAGCGGTCCAGTGCTATCCATCATATTCAGCTTCGCATACCCGGAGTTCTACACCCTACGATATGACCCGATGATGATCGCAGGCTTTATCCTGGCGCACCTAGGTCTACTGCTAATCTTGCTGGGCTTTGTGATGCCCAGGTACTACGACGTTTTCATACCTCTAGACCGAAGAGACGAAGAGTTAAAAGTGACCCAAGCGAACCAGCCGCCGGAGGAAACGCCGGAGGAAACTCTCACGAGCGGGGTGAACAAAGAAACAGCTGCTGTTTAAGAAATATCCCTGGCAAGGCGTCGTGAAGGCGGAGCCAGGTAATCATCATAAAAGAAGGCAATTAAAGGGCGATAGATACAAGATCTCAAACTAATTTAATTGTCCGAATCGCGCCACGGTCCTTCCTCGCGTTGACTAGTTAGTCTCAATGCCGTGGCTGACCTCAGAACCATGGTTCTATATCCCGTCCGATAATACCAAGAAACTCCATCACCGCATGGTAGAGGGTAGGGTGGCATCTGCACAAATTAAACTCCACGGAAAACACTGACGCTATCGAAGGACTACTGTGAGAGGAATACACTACGATTTACCATCAGCCACGAGCTCAAGCACTGGCTGCCGTGCCATAGGTGTTCTTTACATTTTGAGCTGAGTTCGTAGGTCCACTAATCATATTTTTTTGTATCGCGCAAAGAGTTGTAATCTGAAAACATGCAGCTACAAAATCCAGACTTGATGTCCTTGCCTGATCGTATAATTACCCGACTCACTCAGTGGTCGATTCAAGGGTTGGACCCTGAACTGTTCTTGGCAGGACACACAACAATCGGTTCGTCGCTTGAACACGGCAAGAGACAGGAACTCTGTGCAACTATCAGACCATTGAACGTTGGCTGATCAGTTCATATGCGCTACTGTATTTGTGAGTCTATTGCATGTTGAAATTCCACGGACCTGCTGTCATCTTCCATGGACTTGTTATCCTGACCCCAGGAGATGTGGGGGCTTGGCTTCGGAAATTTTGGACTCATCTCGAATTCTAAGCAGAAAGCACCCGTTCAAGACCGCATGAGAGACCCGTGAGAAGTGCCGAGTCTGCTCTATGATGATACTTGAGACATCTCGAGCATAACAGCAAGGGTTGTGACGGGCCGCCAGACGAAGCAGTACGAGATGGCTGGAGGCGATGGTGCGACCCTGCCGGGGGACCTGCTCGAAGCCCAACTCTCGATGGTCGAGTTGATCAGGGCGATGTACCCATCGTCAACAGAGAAGTCAGATTCGACCACAGACGAGATGATTGAGAGGTTACGCTCATGGTGCGAGTCTTCATGCCCGCCCGGTGGGAGCGGCACCGTCCCATCCAGGTTCAGCTTCGACATGACCATCCCGCTGGACACCGAAGGGGCCGAGGCGCTGTCACCCGAGATACAGATCAGCATCGCCGTGCCCTTGACGTCGACAGATGTCGAGATGACGGAGCCTCCCCCTCTCACGTATTCGTTGCGCCAACCAGTCTGGATGTCGCGGGCCGAACTCGCGGAGCTGGGCAGCGGCATGCCCGCGGGCGATGTGCTGGGAGCGTTCGATTACATCCAGGAGAACGCCCCTCGGTACCTGCGCAACGCATCCCAGTCACAGCGGGAAGAATCCTCGCGGCCGGGCAAGGACGCAGGCCCCCTGATGCGGGTGTGGTTCTACTTCCCCTCCCTGTCGACGCGAGAGAAGCGCAAGGACCTGGTCTCGTACACCACCGCGTACGACCTGACGGGGTTTGTCCTGGCGGGGAAACCCGGGGTGCTGTGCCTCGAGGGCGGCTCGGGCAATATCGACGGGTACATGAACGCGATCAAGAACGAGAGCTGGGGCGACATCCCCAGCCACCAGAAGAAGGTCAGCGAGAGGTTCCGCGAGGAGTGCGGGCCGGAGGGGAGGAAGTTCGCGGGCATGAGCGAGATCACGGACGACCTGCGCCAAGCACGGCACGAGGAAGAACAGGGGCGACATGGCGGCTCTGGAGGCGTGGCTCAAGGAGAAGGGGGTCGGCGACTCTTTCTCCAAGGTTGTGATGGGGGCATGAGATGCGCTCGTGGTGGGACTCGGTTCCGTCGTTGCATGTCGCGGCCACCAAGACCCTGCGCGCTGGTTTGCTACCAAAACCATGATCAAATTCCAACATCACAATTCCACGCATGGGTTCCACGCGTGCACCAAAGCGCAGATTGATCGCCAGGTGTTGAGCGACCAGGAATTGGCTCAAGTATCCCAATGTTCAAATCCTCGATTGTTGGTTGTTGGGCTCGGCGGCAGCCTCCACCGCATTCAAGGCAGCAGCCGCTGTCTGTCCCAAACGAAACGCAGCCCCCCCCCTGTTTCTTTGGTTAGCTATCCCCCCCTGCATTAAAAGTTTGCTATAAATATAAAATATATATTAATATTCTTAAGAATAATCTTTTTATTATTATTATATACTTAATTTAATAAAAAAAAATTATTAAAATTTTATTTTATATATATTTTTAAAATAATTAAAAGTAATATAATTAATTTAAGCTTATTATATAAAGAAATATATATTTTATTAATTTTAATTTAAAGTAATTATAATATATTTAAATTAATAATAAATTTATTTTAATAATTTTTAAAAAATAAAAGCTTAATTATTATAATTATATATTTATTTATAATATTAAATTATTTATTTTATTAATAAATATTATATTAATTAATTAATAATAATATTATATATATAAAAATTAATAATAAAAATAAAAAATTATTATTATTATAAAAAAAAAGTTAATAATTTAATTAAAAACTTTTTAAAATAAATAAATAATTATTTAATATATTATTTAATATATTATTAAAAATATTAAGAAAATTATTTTTAAAATTATTTTTAATAAAAATAATATTTTAATTAATTTAAATAAAATTAAAAATAATAATATTAATTAAAAAATATTAAATATATTTAAATTATTATTATTAATTAATAATATTAAAAATAATAATATTAAGAAATTAAAAAATTATTTTTTATTAAAAAAGTTATTTAAAAAAGTATTTTTTATATTATATATAAAAATTATTAATATATAATTTATTTTTATATTATTAATAAAATAATATAATTTTAAATTTAATAATAATAAATATAAAGCTTTTAATATTAATTTTTTATTAAATAATTTTTTTTTAAAAATAAAAAATTAAATTAAAATTAAGTTTATTAATATAAAAAATATAATAATTAAATTATTATAAATTTTATTTAAAATAAATTATTAATTATAAATAAAAATATTTTTAATTTAATTAAATATAATAAAGAAAATTAAAAAATATTAAAAAAAAAAAAAAATTTTTAATAATTAAATTATAAAAATATTTTTTTTAAATAAAAATTTTTATTATTTTATAATATATATATTTATAAAATAATATTTTTAATAATATAAATAATATTTTAAAATATTATAATATTAAAAATAATAATTAAATATTAAAATTTTTAAGTTTTTTTTTATTAATAAAATTAATATTTAATTTAATAAATAATTTATTAATAATTAAATATTTAATAAAATATTTTTTTAATAAAAAAAATTATTATTATTTAAAGATTTTTAAAAAAAAATTAATTATTATTTATATAATAATAATAAAATATAATAATTAATTATTTAGCTTTAAAGTTTATAAAAAGTTAATATAAAATATAATAATATTTTAAAAATATTTATTATAAAGTTAATTATTATTATTATAATAAAAAAAACTTTTTATAATAATAAATATTATATTAAAAAAAAATAATATATATATAAATATTATTAATATTAATTTAATAATATAAATATAAATAATAATTAATAATAAAATTATTATTTAAATATTTTTAAAAAAGCTTTTTATTAAATAAATAAATATTATTAAAATTAATAAAAATAATAAAAAAATTTAATAAAAATAATATTAACTTTATATATAAATAAAAAAAACTTAAAAAAAATAATAAATAAAAAAAAGTAATATTAATATAATAATTAATTTATTAATTAATTTTTATATTTTTAACTTTATATATAAATATTTAATAATAATATATATTATTATTATTAATATTTTTATTAATATATTTATTAATAAACTTTAAAAAGTTATTAATATTATTAATAATAAAAACTTTTTATTTAAATAACTTTATATATTATTATTAATTATTTATATTTTTATTATTATTATTATAAATATTTAATAATTAAAAAGCTTTTAATAAAAACTTTATATTTAAGGCTTTATAAAAATATTTTTATATATTAATAAAAAAAATTAATTAATAAAGTTATAAAAAATAATAAAATATAAAAATATTAATTTTTAAACTTTATATTTAAAAAAAATATTTAATTTAATAAAAAAAACTTAAATAATATTAAATTAATTAAAAAGTTTATAAAGTTATATTTAAAAAAAAAAAACTTTTTTTTAAGTTTTTTAAAAGTAATAATAAAAAAAAAAATTATTATTATTATTAATATTAATATAAAATAATAATTATAATTTTAAATAAATAAAAAGCTTTTTAATATTAATTAATAATATATTAATAATAAAAAATAAATTTAAGATATTTTTTAATAAATTTTAAAAATTTAATTATTATTATTTATAAAAAAAAATAATATAATTAATAAAAAAATAATTAAAATAATTATATATAAAAAAAAGGTTTTATTTAAATAATTAAAAAATTAATTAAGAAAATTAAATATATTTTTTATAATAAATTATTATTTATTTCTTTTAATTATTTAAATAATACTTTTTTTTATTAATTTATTTATTATTAAAAAACTTATTATAAATAATTTTATTATTATACTTTTTTTTTATTAATATTACTTTTTTTATTTTTATTTTAATTATATAATATTTTTATTAATTTTTATTATAATTATTATTTTTAATTTTTTTTTAATATATATATATAATATAAATATTTTTTAATTACTTTTATATATTAATTAATTTCTTTAGCATTTAAATATAAAAAATTTATAAATTTATTATTATTATTATTATAAGAATAATATATATGGGCGTGACGTGCCCATGTAATGGGTGCGTTGCAGGTAATGCATAAATTTAAAGGTGCAAGGTTTAAACTAGTTTTATTAATAGCAGCTGCCAGCCGGTGCCAGCCGGCTGCCAGCTGGCGGTCACGTGCCCCGCGCACAAACCACCATAGCTAGCCTATAGTTAAATAAGGAAAGGCTGCAGCTTTATTATAACCTACCCTTTATATTATAATTAAATTAATTATATACTTTATTTATTTATTATTAATTATATAAAAGCTATATTAATAATTATAATTATTTATTTTATATTAATATTAATAATAAATATATTTTTTTAAATTTTTAAAATATATTTTAATTAAATTAAAATTAAAAAAATATAATAATAAATATATTAATTTAATACTTTTTATTTAAATAGCTTTATAAATAACTTAATTATAATATTATAAAGTATTATTTATTATAAGAATTAATTAAAAGTTTAAATAAATATTTATTTAAAAAAAAACTTTTTTAAAAAGCTATATTAAAAAAAAACTTTTTATTATATATTTTTTATATATTTTAATATTAAAAAGATTATTAATTATAATTATTAATAATATATAAAAGTAATTACCTTATTTAAAAAAACTTTTAATTTAAAAAGTATATTTTAATAATATTTAACTTATTTTTTTTATATTATTATATTTATTAGCTTTTAATTTATTATAAAAAATAAATATTTTAATAATATATTATAACTTTAAAATTTTAAAAAAATAATAACTTTAAAGATTTTTATTATATTATTAAGTTAATATATATATTTATTTATTAATTTAATTATACTTTTTAAAAGCTTTTAAAATAATTTTTATTAAATAATTAATTTAATATTTTTTAATAAAAAAAAGTATTATATTTTATTAAAATATATATTTAATTTATTAAAAAAAATCTTTAAGCTTTTATATAATAATAATTAAATATTAATAATATTTAAAAAGCTTATTATATTAAAAAATATTATATATTTTTAAAGTTTATTATTTTAATTTAATAATATTTATTATTTTAATTTTTTTTAATATTATTAAATTATTAATTTATTATAATTAAATTTAACTTATAATTATTTATTTAATAATAATAAATTTAAATATAAATAAAATTATAATATTTATAATTATATAAAAGTTAATTATATTATTATAGCTTTTTTTTTATTAAATTAAATATATAATAATAATAAAAAGGTTATTTTTAATAATTTTAATATATATTTTATATTTATAATAAACTTTTAATGCTAAGGGAAATAGCTAATTAAAGAAACAAGGGGGGGGCTGCGTTTTGTTTAAGACAGACAGCGGCATAGCGGGGCTTACTTCTCAGCATTAGCTCGACACAAGATGCGTTTGCATCCATCTTGGTCGCGGGATAAGTTTCCCAGATAATCTTTATACTAAATTATCTACAATTAGGGGCGCCAAGTACATTGTCCAAGCCACCATGGGCAGTCCACACGTGCTGTATGTCATCGCTAAAGTCAACGGCCGCTACCGCTCACTCGCCGTGCTCTACCGCCACTATAACAACAAGGGCAAGCGGGCCGTCAACGCCTGCCGCAGGCTTATCCACTGTCTATCCTAAACGAAATGCAGCCCCCCCCCTATTTCTTTAGTTAATTATTCCTTTTTATATTAAAAGTTTATTATAAATATAAAATATATATTAAGATTATTAAAAATAACCTTTTTATTATTATTATATATTTAATTTAATAAAAAAAAAGTTATAATAATATAATTAACTTTTATATAATTATAAATATTATAATTTTATTTATATTTAAACTTATTATTATTAAATAAATAATTATAAATTAAATTTAATTATAATAAATTAATAATTTAATAATATAAAAAAAATTAAAATAATAAATATTATAATATTAAATATATTTTTATTATTATTATTAAATATTATTAAATTAAAATAATAAACTTTAAAAATATATAATATTTTTTAATATAATAAGCTTTTTAAGCATTATTAATATTTAATTATTATTATATAAAAGCTTAAAAATCTTTTCTTTAATAAATTAAATATATATCTTAATAAAATATAATACTTTTTTTTATTAAAAAATATTAAATTAATTATTTAATAAAAATTATTTTAAAAGCTTTTAAAAAGTATAATTAAATTAATAAATAAATATATATATTAACTTAATAATATAATAAAAATCTTTAAAGCTATTATTTTTTTAAAATTTTAAAACTATAATATATTATTAAAATATTTATTTTTTATAATAAATTAAAACTTAATAAATATAATAATATAAAAAAAATAAATTAAATATTATTAAAATATATTTCTTAAATTAAAAGTTTTTTTAAATAAAGTAATTATTTTTATATATTATTAATAATTATAATTAATAATATTTTTAATATTAAAATATATAAAAAGTATATAATAAAAAAATTCTTTTTAATATAATTTTTTAAAAAAGTTTTTTTTTAAATAAATATTTATTTAAGCTTTTAATTAATTCTTATAATAAATAATACTTTATAATATTATAATTAAATTATTTATAAAATTATTTAAATAAAAAGTATTAAGTTAATATATTTAATATTATATTTTCTTAATTTTAATTTAATTAAAGTATATTTTAAGAATTTAAAAAGATATATTTATTATTAATATTAATATAAAATAAATAACTATAATAATAATAATAAATTTATAAAGTTTTTATATTTAAGTATTAAAAAATTAATTAATATATAAAAGTAATTAAGAAATATTTATATTATATATATATATATTAAAAATAAATTAAAAATAATAATTATAATAAAAATTAATAAAAATATTATATAATTAAAATAAAAATAAAAAAAGTAATATTAATAAAAAAAAATATAATAATAAAATTATTTATAATAAGTTTTTTAATAATAAATAAATTAATAAAAAAAAGTATTATTTAAATAATTAAAAGAAATAAATAATAATTTATTATAAAAAATATATTTAATTTTCTTAATTAATTTTTTAATTATTTAAATAAAACCTTTTTTTTTATATATAATTATTTTAATTATCTTTTTATTAATTATATTATTTTTTTTTTATAAATAATAATAATTAAATTTTTAAAATTTATTAAAAAATATTTTAAATTTATTTTTTATTATTAATATATTATTAATTAATATTAAAAAGCTTTTATTTATTTAAAATTATAATTATTATTTTTTTATATTAATATAATAATAATAATATAATCTTTTTTTTTATTATTACTTTTAAAAAGCTTAAAAAAAAAGTTTTTTTTTTTTTAAATATAACTTTATAAACTTTTTAATTAATTTAATATTATTTAAGTTTTTTTTATTAAATTAAATATTTTTTTTAAATATAAAGTTTAAAAAATTAATATTTTTATATTTTATTATTTTTTATAACTTTTATTAATTAATTTTTTTTATTAATATATAAAAATATTTTTATAAAGCCTTAAATATAAAGTTTTTATTAAAAGCTTTTTAATTATTAAATATTTATAATAATAATAATAAAAATATAAATAATTAATAATAATATATAAAGTTATTTAAATAAAAAGTTTTTATTATTAATAATATTAATAACTTTTTAAAGTTTATTAATAAATATATTAATAAAAATATTAATAATAATAATAATATTATTATTAAATATTTATATATAAAGTTAAAAATATAAAAATTAATTAATAAATTAATTATTATATTAATATTACTTTTTTTTATTTATTATTTTTTTAAGCTTTTTTTATTTATATATAAAGTTAATATTATTTTTATTAAATTTTTTATTATTTTTATTAATTTTAATAATATTTATTTATTTAATAAAAAGCTTTTTTAAAAATATTTAAATAATAATTTTATTATTAATTATTATTTATATTTATATTATTAAATTAATATTAATAATATTTATATATATATTATTTTTTTTAATATAATATTATTATTATAAAAAGTTTTTTTTATTATAATAATAATAATTAATTTTATAATAAATATTTTTAAAATATTATTATATTTATATTAACTTTTTATAAACTTTAAAGTTAAATAATTAATTATTATATTTTATTATTATTATATAAATAATAATTAATTTTTTTTAAAAATCTTTAAATAATAATAATTTTTTTATTAAAAAAATATTTATTAAATATTTAATTATTAATAAATTATTTATTAAATTAAATATTAATTTTATTAATAAAAAAAACTTAAAAATTTTAATATTTAATTATTATTTTAATATTATAATATTTTAAAATATTATTTATATTATTAAAAATATTATTTTATAAATATATATAATTATAAAATAATAAAAATTTTTATTTAAAAAAGTATTTTTATAATTTAATTATAAAAAAGTTTTTTTTTTTTAAATATTTTTTAATTTTCTTTATTATATTTAATTAAATTAAAAATATTTTTATTTATAATTAATAATTTATTTTAAATAAAACTTATAATAATTTAATTATTATATTTTTTATATTAATAAACTTAATTTTAATTTTCCTTTTTTTTTTTTTAAAAAAAACATTATTTAATAAAAATTAATATTAAAAGCTTTATATTTATTATTATTAAATTTAAAGTTATATATTTTTTCTTAATAATATAAAATAAATTATATATTAATAATTTTTTATATATAATATAAAAAATACTTTTTTAAGTAACTTTTTTAATAAAAAATAACTTTTTAATTTTTTTAATATTATTATTTTTAATATTATTAATTAATAATAATAATTTAAATATATTTAATATTTTTTAATTAATATTATTATTTTTAATTTTATTTAAATTAATTAAAGCATTATTTTTATTAAAAATAACTTTAAAAAATAATTTTTTTAATATTTTTAATAATATATTAAATAATATATTAAGTAATTATTTATTTATTTAAAAAGATTTTTAATTAAATTATTAACTTTTTTTTTATAATAATAATAATTTTTATTTTTATTATTAACTTTTTTATATATAATAATATTATTAATTAATTAATATAATATTTATTAATAAAATAAATAATTTAATATTATAAATAAATATATAATTATAATAATTAAGCTTTTATTTTTTAAAAGCTATTAAAATAAATTTATTATTAATTTAAATATATTATAATTATTTTAAATTAAAATTAATAAAATATATATTTCTTTATATAATAAGCTTAAATTAATTATATTATTTTTAATTATTTTAAAAATATATATAAAATAAAGTTTTAATAATCTTTTTTTATTAAATTAAGTATATAATAATAATAATAAGATTATTCTTAAGAATATTAATATATATTTTATGTTTATAGTAAACTTTTAGTGCGGGGGGGGGATAGCTAACCAAAGAGACAGGGGGGGGCTGCGTTTCGTTTGGGACAGACAGCAACTGTTCGAGGAGCCCCGAAACCGAGCCCTTCTGCTCCATGAGCTCCAGGTCGCCGGCAGCCTGCCCCCGGAGAAGTGGAAGGCGGCCCCGGAGTACCGCAACGAGAGGCCTGCATTCCCCTTCGTCGCAACGTGCCTCCTGCTGGGCGCCTCGGTGACGCCCGAGACGGGCCACGGGTACAATGCCACCCATGAGCCCTTCAACATGCCCCTCACCGCCGCCCCCGAGGGCTGTACAATCCTGGACGTCACGGACCCGGCCGCGGTCAGGTACGCGTTTGTCTTCGTCCTGCCTCAGAAGTGGCCACCCGAGGGGCTGATAAGGACATCGTTCGGCAACACGCCTCTGAGTGCCTGGGAGTATGCCGCATTCTACGGCGACTTGTTTTACGAAGAAGACTACCGTATAGCAGAGGACGATGCGGTGATAGCCAGGACGCATTCCCGTTTCACGGACATCCTCAAGGGCCAGGAGGCCATTGACTCTACTGTGACCGCCTCGCCCCTTATAGATGAGGACGCTCTTGAGAGCGCATGGCCACTTCCGGGAGACAAGCAGTCTTGGAGGCGGCGAGCCGACTTGGGTCTTCCGGGAATTGTGCCTCGGCCGTCCCCGGCGGGCCATCCTGCCCTATCGCGGCGCCCGCCCTCTACCAACCATGCTGAGACCTTGTACAAGGCGTTCGAGCAGTCTTACAGGCTGTTTGAGCCCGGTTACAACCAAGGCCTCGACACAGAGGTCCGCGCCCCGCTCTCATCTGTCAAACAAGTTGCCAATATTCTCTACTTCGGGTCATTAGAAGACTCATCCTGGCAAGCCAGGGCCGCCGAGCACGAGCCCAAGGGCGATGGGAGGTTTGGAGAAAATGCAGTCCAGTACTTCACTTTCCAGGTGGACGATAGCCCCGTCACACCAGGGCAGACGCTTGATGTGCTGCATAGCTGGATGGTCGCAGCCACCGCCCAGGAGTTGGGAGGCAGGATGAAATATCAGTACTATTCTGACTGCACCCACGGACACAGTGATCAGAGCATGGTCAAATTCTTCAGCATGGCCGGCCCAGTAAGCAGTGCCCTGTGTAAGCGACACCGTGCATGCAAACCTCATTTCAGGCTAACACATTTCCAGAACCACCGAGCCGTCAAGCCCCTGCCCGGCCAAGCATTCTACTGCGCCAAAAAGTCCTACCACTGCAACATAGACTGGACCACGGTGGCTCTCGAGGAGATCAAACCCGGCGAGTGGACGGCGTTCCTCGTCCAGCAGTGGCGTCAAGTGCCGCTCGACATACTCAGGACGGAGACGACTCCCCTGGGCTTCAAGTGCGCCTTCGTCAGCCGCGGCGCAGACGGTGAGATCACGGTGGCCGACGCGGAGACTTTCCGTTCTGCGAGCCGTTCAACCCCGGTGGATGACGCACTCCGGGAGCTGGACCCTGGCGAGGAGACGTGTGGCCGGGATCTGGTGGATTTGCTCGGCCGGGACGGTGGTGCCATCAACGGCGTCCCGGTGTCACTCATGGGTAGGGACGAGGTTTTGGAGCTGCTCGGGGGGATGGAGGTTGTCAAAGCTCGGGAAGATGAGAGGCTTGCGAGATCCTGGAGCGAAGTCCACTCGAAAATGATGCAGAGAAAGGCTAGGGAGAGGGAATCAGCGATCATTCAGCGCTTCATCATCAAAATGCCTTGAAGTTTCATGTCCTTGCCCGTCAGGCCTACGAAGGCCTGTGCCTCTGTATCCCACGGTTGAACCTCCGGCAGTCTCCATAACCCAATTAAAGCGACAAGCTGCACTGCACCTGACTTGACACTAGCCAAAGCTCAGGAAAAACAAGGCAGAGTCAGCGGCGCTGGCGCTGGCGCTGTCTCCAACTTCGCAGGCAACTCGACGGCGGGAAGGTTGCACAGACACCAACATGGACATAGAGGTGGAAGGCCAAGTTCGATCTTGAGCTTCATTGAGGACCTTCAATGGACGGGGCATGGCCTCGGTCCTAGGCAACTCAAGGACGGGAAATTCCGAACAAAGCATAGCGGCTGCGAGCGGTATGACAATGAAAATCATTTCACCCCATCTTCCTGGACGGGAAAGGAGCCTCTGCTTGCGCTGGAATGAAAGGGCCCCGGGTAGGACCGTACGGGTCGCGTGGATACGTGATCAGCCCTACACTTGCCCGCATCAGCGTTGAAATGCCGGGCCAGACTGTGCATCAGATGTTTGTGCATTAGACTAGTGGCGCCTGTCAGTTCGTCTCATCCACGAGCAGTCCCATTGTCGTCTCAACATGAGCCGCTCATCCTTCAAGTTGGGATGGACAATTCCTGGACTAGTGCTCCAAGCCTTGAGGCGTCATGGCGACATTGGTATCACCTGCTGTGCAGGTTTTCAGCTGGTAGACGGAGTCAGGATGGAGAATCCAGCTGGACCTGGTGCCATGTTCTCAGAGTTACCGCGGGCAGGTTATAGCGATGATGACAGCCCGGCGGTGAGGTCGCACTCTGCTTCTGTAACACTGTCAGTGCGTGGTAAGTCCAAGTGAAGCTATCGCAAGTTACTATAATGGTCTAAAAACTATAGACCTGGGGAGATCAAGATTTAATTTTAGGTCAAGCCTACTTTTCCTGATTCAATATGTGTTAAGTTCCAAAGGCTTTAGCCACACTGTGTTTTTTAAATTAACTGTCCATTAGTTTGTTTGCTATTTGCTTAGCTTTTTAACTATCCCTTAGCAGCCCTAAGTTTATATATAAAGTTATATATAGCTTAATATATATCCTTATTCTTTTTTTAAAGGAATATTATAATTTTTCTTTTTATCTTTATTTTTTAATTTCTTTTTAAATCTTTTAATAATAATTTTATTATATTTTATATTTTTATTTATTTTAATATAAATATTATATTCATTTTTCTTTAAAAGTTTTATAATATCTTTATAAAAATATTTAAATATTTTAAAGTAAAACATTTTTTAATTTTAATCTTTATTAAAATTAATAACTTTAAAGTTAAATATTAATTATAATGATAATTTATTTAATAAAAATTTTCTTTAAAAATTATATAATCTTATAATTTTTTTAAAATTCCCTTAAAAAGATATATAATAATATAAATAAAAAGAAATTAAATTTTTAATTAAAATAATATTAATAAAATTTATTTTATAATAATTATTTTAATTTTAAAGCGCTATAAAAATTAATTTTAAGTTATTTATATTAAGGGTTTATAATATTGTTAAAATAGTTTTTTTTAACTTTATTTATATAATTATTATATGGCTATTATTATTTTATTAGCTATAAGCTATAAATAATTATATTTAAAACTTATTATTATTAATACTATATTTTTTTAATGCTAGGTGTTTAAGCGTGTATTATTATATAAAGGGATTAGATGCATATTGCTTAAGAAGCATATGTGTATAGATTAAAAATGAGACCACTTAAGTTCAAAATGTCCTAGGCTGCATCCTCTCACAGACTACGCTGTCTTTGAATGATTAATAAAATAAGAGCTAGAGATGTAGGACGAACACTTTTGTAGTAGGAATCCGACAGCTTATGCTGCCGGACATGGTCAAGACTGAGGTCTGTTACCCTAATTGCACAATTGGCGGCTTCTTGAATGAGAATGGACGTTTCCCGACGGGCTCTAGCATCAAGAGCGTTCGAGCTCTTTATCAGGTTGATAAGATTTCAAGTGTCTCTCCTTTGTTCAAACTCCCGCCTCTTGTGCGCCGTTTGAGGCGCTCGGACAACTCATTCTATGCGAAAGCACATGATCGCTGTTTCTTTCTTTCAGCTGTTAGCACGCGGAGTCTTCAGCTCAGGGTCCTAGCTAAGCTGAGCTGAGTCGAGGTTGGATGTTCCATGCAGATATATGACCGCAAGCCTCGGAATGCACATGCAACCAAGAGCATACTTGGGCTCTTGCTGGCTCAGGCCGTTCATCTTAGGGTCAAAGTGTCCACAATAGACTACGAAGCGAAACATTTTCTCCAAAACCAAAGCCTGCTTCTCGATCATGTCACTCGTGTCGCAACTACCATCCAAGAAGCACCCAAATGGCGTCCGCCTGCTCGCACTCGACGGCGGTGGCGTCCGAGGGATTGCTTCCCTGGTCATGCTCAGGGAGATCATGTGGAGGGTGAGGGACAGGGTCAATCCGGGGTCGGAAGAGCCCTGCCTCCCGGTCGACTTTTTCGAGCTGGCGGCCGGCACCAGCACCGGCGGCATAATCGGAATCATGCTGTTCAGGTTGCGGATGAGCGCGGATGAGGCCTGCAAGCAGTACTACAAGATCGCCAAGCAGGTCTTCAGCCCCAAGATATGGGGCTGGAATATCAGCTGGCTGCCGGGCGCATCTTACGTCAACAACGGAAAGTTGCTGTTCACGAGCACTCGCTTTGACGCCGAGCCGTTGCGAAAGGCTGTCGACAGCGTCGTGGAGAGGTTTGGGCTTGATGACAATGACAAGCAGAAGAAGCGGCAGGCGCCTCTGTTTCACAAGAAGGCTGGCGGGATGTAGGTCCCAAGCTCCCATCAACTGTCCCTCCCCCCCCCCCCCCCACTCTCTTTTGCGAACCTGGACGCAGATATTGACCGGATACTCCCAGGTTCCTCTGCACTACCGCCCATAGTCAGGCCGAGACAGTACTGATGAAATCGTACCAGCCCGGCGACTCGCCCGCCACCAGGTCTAAAGTCAATGATATGGTGAAGGCTGGGGGCAAGGGTATTACTATCGGTATGGCGGCGCTCGCAACGTCTGCAGCGCCAACCTACTTCCCTGAGGTCAAGTGGGAAGTACCTGGCCAGAAGCCGCTGACGTTCTGGGACGGCGGCCTTCTGAACAACTGTCCGATAGACCAGGTGTGGTACAACCGGTTCGAGCTTGTGGGGCCCAACGAGGACGAACCAGACGTGTCGTGCCTCATCAGCCTTGGGACTGGTTACGTGCGGCCCGGCGGCTCGTGGGTCGCCGATTATATACCCGCAGTCCGCCTCCTGGAAACGGCCGGGTCGGTCATGAGCTTTGCCACCAACGCCAACGCCAAGGGAAAGGACTTCTCGAGGCATTATTCGACCCTGCTGAATACCCGACAAAAGTACGCGAGGATGAAGTACCTCCGGTTCAACCCAAACCTCAGGTCACACGAGATTGGCCTCGAGGACTACACTATGATGAGGAAGCTAGAGAAGATCACTCTCGAGTATCTCGAGGATCACAAGAACCAGTCGTTCATCAACAAGGCGGTCGATGCCATTTGCCCGATTGGCGCGAAGAACGATTGTTGTCAGTAGGCGAGAGGCCCCCTGAAGACTTGTTCCGAGTGCGATGGGGATTCTTTGCTGGCGGCTTTGGCCTTCTGAACTGATGACCTGTAGGCATTTTTTTTTTTTTGGGGGGGGGATGCAGCCATAATGTTGTTGTCTCTGTGTAGTCGTCCCTGGCGATATGTCGATGGCATATTGTAAAGTAAGGCGGCAGCCAACATGGTCCTCGGGATCTTTAAATATTTGAATACTGACACCGTAATGTGCTCGTTCCCAAAATGATCGCCACCTGATGGGCGTTGACCCGGATCTTCAGAGTGGCGCTCGCCAATGTTGGTGGCCATGACAGGAAACATGGCGCAATCAGGAGTCGAGCATACCGCTATGTTCACCCTGTTGTCATTAAGCCATCGTGGACAGTCAGGGTGTGCGTAGCCTCCTGTAGCGGCAACCCCTAGAGCACTTCGACAAAGGCCTCCAGCGAGTCAAGAGACGGATTGTGATACCCCGACAGAGTGGAAGGAGTGTGATAGCTGAGATAGGAGGTATAAGATGGGAGGACCAAGTCGCCCAAACACGTCGCGGTGCATCCTGCCCTGCCACTGACTCGAGCCAGTACCGCTGTCTTGGGAGAGGCTTCGGGATCGACAACATCCGTCTTCGCCTTTGACTGACAGTATGCTACCTGCACAGGTAGAAAGAACGGTGGTTCACCCAGTGACAACTTGGATGACAAAGACAAAGCTTGCGGTGGTCGGGAACAAAGAGCGTCGTCATCCAGGGCCGGAGACGAGCACCAGGGCGGCCAGGGCGGGTGGCATCTTGGCACTAGGGCCTTCAAACTGAGACGCCGGCGATCGACAGGCTGTTCTCTGGGTCGACAGACTCTTGGCTCCCTGTCCATGACGAGACGGTGAGGGCAGGCTGTGCAGGCAGTAATAATGACCATGGCCCCAGGTGCAGTACCAGCGTATTGAAGTGTGCCTTGACGGGGTTCATCTGCTCCTTGGCATTGCTGCTGGCTTTTCGTCTTGAAACCAAGATTGGCAGTCGATCGATCAGTGACAAGCCGTGGCTCCACTAATGAGATGGATGGAGGTTGTTGTTGCTGTGGATTTGACATGCTTCAAACCGTGTCACGGTGTTACTGTCGGGGAGGCAAGACGCTGGCTGTTGCGGGTGCCTTTCTTTGTCCGACTAAGTGACTGGCTGCTGTGTCCGTGTCTGTCAGTCCGTCCGCCCGTCTTCACAGCCACGTCTTCACAGCCACGTGTCACAAGCCGGCCCGACGCAAGGGGATAACAGTCAGCCTGCTGTGTAATGAGAGCAGTGAATGTCGCCCCGACGGCATGATGAAAAGTGAGAGTATTATTAGCAGCAGCTGGGGGGGGGATGATAGGACGAAGAATCTGGGCTGGAAGTCGATGGGTTGGGAAAGCTGAGGGTGTTCCAAGCCCGACGGCCAGACCAGAAACACGGAAGGGACGGGAAGGGCTTCTTAGGCTGTCTGATCTTCTCCCACGCCAAGCCCCTGCTTCTGGGCCCGCTGCTTGCTGCTGCTGCTGCTGCTGCTGCTGCTGCTGCTGCTGCTGCTGCTGGTGCTGGGAGCGCGTGCGAGTCGGCCGCTGGCGCTGCCGATCCCTGTCGTGGGTGCAGGCGGTCCTGATGCGGCTCCCTGAGCCTCTGCGGGGATCATCAACCTCCTCAAGCAAGATTGACTGCATCGCCAAGCTTTCCATCCCGTGTTGCCCGTTTGGTTTGGCTCGAGAAAAAAGGAGCAGGATACTCCGTACAGCAGGGGGCAGGCCCCACGCAGGCGTTCCCTGGTGAGCAGCCGCTGTGGCTGGCGGCCCTTGAGGCTGATCAGGTACAAGCCGTCACAACTCATGTTTCACCATCCCACCGTCCAAACCAGAGGGCCCTGTCGTCCGCTTCCATCTGATGCTGGGCCACACCCAACAATCTCCAGAGTTCCCGCCGCAGTGGAAACAGGACCAAGCTTTTCTGCCTGCACTGCACTACACACCGTCATTCATGGCAGAACCGGCTGCACGCGGCGGTAGTCTACATACTCTGTTCGGTGGGGAACTGGAGACTGGGGGCGGGGCCGGCGCACACATTCGGGGCATCCTCCTCACTGGGCGCAACACGCACGCGAACACATGTCGATCCAACCTTCCACTGCCGCTTGTTTGGTCATATCCTTGGCCCCCTGCTGAGGAGATACTCAGGAGGCCCGGCTGCCTTCGAGGCCGGAATACGTCGGCGGGTGCTGGAGCATAGGCGACAGACATGTCATCATCCCGGCTGGGCAGTTCGAGGTCGACATCCTGACACGCACTGTCGTACTGTGCCATGCTCAGTCCGTCTGGCGTGTCTGGCTGGCAGTCACCAGTCGGTCAGAGACTGAGAAGCGCAGCACGCGTCGTGCTGCCCTTGCTAAGCCCTGCCTAGTGCCGTCTCTGTACTGTGCTACGCCATACCGGTACGGTATAGCAATTACATGCTGTTGGGATGGCATGTCCTGAGCCTGGTATGATGAGCAGCAGGTACCTCGCCCAGCAACGCCCCGCAGGGCTATACATCCCCCCTCCCATGCCGTCCCACCCCGTGCAGTCCAGTGACGGGGAAGTCTGGTCTCGAATTCCACGGGATCTTCATCCCGAGTCTGAGATGGAGTGCTTGGACGAGATGACATGCCGTGGCATCTCATGCCCTCCAGGGCAACATACAAATACCACATTCTCTTTAGCCCGTACTTTCCGTTCTCGCATCACTCTCTTTCCAATCCGTCCCACTTTTGAATTATTGTCGAGACCGAGTACTGTCCTTCTCTCTATTCTCTTCGCCAACAAACCCCATTCACTACAATTTGTAATCAGTCCGTCGCCGGCCGACATTCCAACAAGCCTAGCCAAGATGCAGTTCACACTCTTGACCTTCGTCACTCTCTTCGCCGCTGCCATCGCGGCCCCTCTCAAGGGAGAGGAAGACTGTGAGTTCAATGACAGAAGAGCATCAACGGATCTTGAAGTCCTCATACTGACCATGATATCTCCAGTGGTTGTCAAGCGCCAAGCCGCAGGTGGCCAGCCAACCACCTCACAGCCGGCCATGACCGCCCAGGACGGATCCGTCGTCGCCTTCGACACAGCCGGCGTCTACCTCGACTCCGTCGCCAAGGGCCTTTAAACGACCCGGTTCATGAAACGAGAAGAGCGTGGAAGAGGGTCCGAGGACGTCGCCAAGGGCAACGTGAGGCCATCAACCCTCACGATGATCCCCTAGCTTGGTGGCCTGGCGGTAGAGACGGGATCTTGTGATGGCTCGCGCAGCCTACACAATACCGCATTATTATTGTTAATGGAGCTTTGGACCGGGTGGCCCGGGGGGTCTAGATTACCCCCCGTCCCCGTAGATGGCGTCAAACAGAGGAGGGAAAGGAAAGGCGAGGAGGGGAAGGAAAGGGGAGGAGACGTCGGGGGCAGTAGTACGTTGTGGTATCTTTTAAACGAACGGCGAATTCATTCAACACGGTCACTTGTGGCGTTGCCCAACCCATTCTTCCGAAATACCACACTCGCTTTCATGACTTGCCAGTCGGTGTCGTAGCTCACCTCTCGTGCCGGTCTGAGTGTCATTGCTTCAATATGTGTGTGCTCTACAAGGCGAGCTTTGACAACAGCTTTGCCACCTGCCACACGCCTGTTGGGATCAGAACATTACTCTGCCAGCCCTTGGCTGCAGGACTTCACGGATATCCATTGCAGTCGAACTTTGAGGGTGAACTTCCGAAAATGGAAATGCGCGCGAGGTGAGAAGCAACACGAAACAGGTCTCGCTCTTTGCACAGCACGCCTACCGTGAAATGGCGGGTAGAACCCTGGGGGTTGAGAGTCTCGAGTGTTGAGTGATGCTGTCCGCTCCCCTGAACACGCACCCTCCACCCTGGGCCTTCGGTGTAGAACCAGGGCTGTCCTGGTCGAGGTCTTCCATGCTGATGGCGTTTCAGGAACACAGAACAGTCAGTCACCGACGGAGGCCTGCTCCTCAATGGGAGTGTCCGTCATGTGATATTGCTGTGTTGTGGACTGGCTGAGTCGACACAACCCAGTCTCAGCTCCAACTTCTTCCGCAGTGGGTTTTCCGGTTGGATGTGGGAGAGACCCGAACATCATTTCGCGGGTCCTTTGGTCGAGTAATTCAGAAGGTCCTTATAATTAAGGCTCAGTTACCAGGTTAGCCACTGCTCTGAGGACACAAGGATGAGAACTGGGCGACGATCTGAAGTGCATCGAATCGTGGTGTTAGGCGTCCGAGCTTAGTTGAGTTGGACACAATCTGCTCACCGATGGCTCCAAAACAGGCTCGATTGAACCTTGGCGCTGAGTGCTTGCCGGTAGCAAGTTTCCATTGTCCAGAGACGGCCTGCGTGTGATGGCGCGTTCAAGCAGCCAAGGTTGGGAATTGAATGAGCGATCGATGTTGACTGCAGAGCACTCTTGTTGTTGTCGTCAGGTATTTCGCGTCGTCGCCGATCAGTCTCCTCACGGTGCACCCCGCCAGTGAGGCGTTGCCGCGATGGTGTTCCCACGATGAGGTCGTCTGTCGCGTCTCCGTCGACTCCACGTGGTTGACCCGAGACACGTCGGTTTTTGGGGCAGGCTAAGGCAAACTCGGACAGGGTGTGCGGTACAGTAGGGTGGGTTCCACTGGCGTCTGCCTCTGCTGCAGGGTCTCACAGGCAGTGGCCTTTTGCACGATACCTCCGTACATGCTTATTTCCTGGTGAAACGTGCAATCCCCATCCGTCAAATCCGTCTGTCTGTTCATCCACTTTCCAACCGAATCAATCAATCAAAAACAAGAGCGGCGGGTCCCTCGTCGACGTCTGCAGCTCTCACCTTCTTCATCAGCATTCTGAGGAGGCACTGGAGTCTGATCAAGGACCGCCGGTAGGATTGTGGCTGTTCGCTCCGGAGCAGACGGCCAAAGCCGTCCGTGCCCATTCATGAGCTCGGGCTGCCCAGGTGCATGTCTATTTTTAGGACCGGGATTTCACAGTCCTCTGCAGTGCCGGCACGCAGCGGCTGTAAATGAGCCTCATCAAGACACGCCAGCGCAGAACGGATCCGCCCGGCCACGCGCGACTCGGCTGACGAGCGAAGTGGCTCACGTCGCTGTGGGCTCGCAGTGAGCCACTGGCTCCAGTCTGCCAGAAGCCACCAACCAGGTCAGCCCGGAACTTTGCCTACGGAGATTCGCTGTCATTTGGGGATTGGCCACCAGCGGCCGGGAATGGAGCGGAGCTCCTTGTTGTTGCTGCTGCTGTCTGCTGCGATGTCATCCTGAAGGATCGCAAACGCTGTCTGCGATCTGCATTTTGCCCTCAACAAAGCTTCCGGGTCCCCAGCCCTTTTCAACGCAAGACGCGCCAGAATCTACCAGAGTCACATCTGCCTTGTGAAGAGGCTCCACCCATGCGTGAATCCTACCCGTTCGCTTGGGCCGTGCCAAGTTCCACGCCTGTGGTGTTTGTCCGCCCCGACACCAAACATGCCGGACGCAGGTCAGGAAAGCTAATGAGCTCAGCCGCAATGGCATCGCACATCATTCCTTCCCCCTTGGCCGTCAAGAAACAACATGACTGACCGCCTGTCATGATTCTCGGGCGAGATGCGCTCAGTCGCAAAGACACAATACTGTCCGGCCGGGGGCTTGCGCGGCCTTGATGTCAAATATCGTGAAGGTGGAGCCGCCCCTGGTCGCCGGATCTCAACATGCTCAGAGCGTCTGTTGCTTCGCGTCATTTGCCCACTGAACCTTCATATCTGTCTCTCGTCGCTGATGAGTCGGCCGGGCCACCAGCCCTGCCCCGGTGGCTTGGCTCCATCTTCTCGGAATGTGGCAGCCTAGTGGGCACTGGGCACGCCTCGCCTCAGCACAGTCGTCGAAGCTTCAATTTCCTTCTCCAGCCGGGACCCGATTCCATTGCATCGGGCTGTGGGCATCCAAAAGTGGGCTGTGTACGTTCTTTGTTCTCCCCAAAATCTGGGGATGCCGTATTCTTAGCAGTGCTAAAATCCTGCGTCGTTTTAGAGCGCCCCGTCCTGAGGTGTTACCGTCACCGCCCTTTTTGTTTTTCTTTTAAATCATTTCTTGCTTCCTGCCATAAGTAAGACTCGAGGCACATGTCCATCGCAACTATATAGCTCCGGCACTCTTCGATATCCCGTATTCCCACGTCTCTCGGCGTCTGGTTAAGCTTCTCACGACATCAGCTAGCTCCGGTCACACGAAGCAGACACCACCCACCCATCTTCTGGACAGGGGCCACGACGATGGCGCACCACCGCGATCAGGCTAAATTCGACCGGGCCCAATGGCGGCTTATGGTCCTCGTGCCCTCCTGGCTGATACAGATCTCGCTTTATATCGTCCTCACAGGTATATCAGCATACCTCCTAGCCAACGCCATAGGCGTCTCCGACGAAACAAATGGAACGGCAATTGCGTAAGTACTGCAGACCATTTATCAGTATGAACATGTATAAGCTGATGGCCAGGTTAGATGGGAATCAATAACTATTGGCTTCGCAGCCATTTCGATATTATGTACGGCATTTGAGATTTTCAGGACATTTGCTGAGGCCCTGACACCGAAAGAGATGGTCATCTCCAGCCTTGTCAAGCTCACGGGAATCATCGTGTCCATGATCATGGGAGGATTAATGTCAGACACGGACCTCTCCAGCTGGACAACTGGGACGCAGGTCATCCACGGTCTCTTGATGTAAGAACGGCCCAACGGTTCCTCATCCGGATGTTCATGCTGATGACCAAGCAACAGTATTCCCGTACTCGCTCTCGGCTCATACGCGGCCTGGATCTGGAGATGCCTCGCCCAATACGACGACTATGACCACCCAGGCAACGTCAAGCCTTTCGGCTTCAAGAGCGACCGCAAAGAAAAGTTCCTCCACTCCCGCAACGAGTCCGATGACTGGGATGTCGAGCTTCGCGCGTCTTGGGCCTCCAGGGAGATAGCACTGGGCAATGCCGTCGACATCACATCACCACCCCCAACAGCACCATCAGCAGAGCCCGCCCCTACCGAAACTCGACCGCGAGGGTCCTCGTTTGTCAAGGTTGGCGGACGCCTCAACTTTAGCCTGACGAACGACGTGGACGCGGCGAACGAGCAAGCCAGCCGGAGCCGGGCCAACTCATCATCCGCCCTCTTGGGCGGTATCACCACAATCTCCGAGTCACAGCCGCAGTCGCCGCCCAATGAGGTAGCCGACCTGGTCATCCCGAAGAGGCCAGCATCCTACATCTCCGTGACGGGCACGGGGATGGACCGCCGCGCGTCGTACAACCACACCCGCGATACGGCCTTCGAGGAGTACGTCCGTCAGCACCGCGCCAGGCAGCAGCGGACGAGCCAGGGGTCCATCGGAGGCGGAGCACGCAGCAGCAGCGCGCCCCTGACCCGCAGCCGTGCGCAGTCCAACACAGAACGCACCGCGGCACAGCAGCAACAGCAGCAGAAATTCAAGAATGACGTGGACGACGCCCTCGGCCAGGCCTTCGGCTGGGGCAAGGGGAGCAGGTCGTCAAGCCTGGATAGCGTTATGGCGGGGGGTGAGCCGCCGGCAATCGCCGTGGGCGGCGGGGCCGTGCCCAGCGCCAAGTCCGTCCGGGACAGCCTCGGGCGGGCGCCGAGCGACGGCAGCGAGAGGGGCGCAGTGGGGTCCATGCCCGAGGAGGGAGGAGACGATAACAACGATGACGACAGCCAGGAGGGGGTCGACGAGGATACGCGGCAGAGGAACGTGAGCGAGGCGAGTCGAGCTCTGCTCGGTGGCGGCGCGGAGGTTGAGGAGATCCGTGCGGTTCCGGAGTCTTTACGGCCCGCTTGCGGTGGTGTTACGAGGCCCAGGGCTCTGAGCGAGACGATCGAGTTTATCGAGTTTATCGTGACGCCACCGCCCGCGACGCCGACGGGGGAGGGAGAAGGTGGGGTGAGGAAGACGTGGGGGGCTGCGCATCAGCCATGAGGAAGGTGGAGGAATGATACCCATTTTTGACAAGCGTGACATATTTCTTAATCATAACCATGTTATGAAAACACCACTGCTCCCTAATCTCGTAAAAGATATGCTCTCAATTTGTCAGAGTCTTATCAAGGACAAGGTCATTGCCGGCTGGTGAAACGAGACATCCGGTCTGGAGGGCTCTGAAGTACAGCTGCCGAATTCTTGCACCGAAGAGAATCACAACACAATGGATGGCAACATGAAGCAGCTGTTGATGGAGTGGAAAATCAAAAATTTGACTCTAAGGGTGAAAGATCTGGATGGGGAATATGACAAGCCAATATTTCCACAATCACTACCACTTGTGACAAAACGTTTAGAGAATATTTGTCAGCACAGATGGGTGGACTTCAGACCAAAGGCTTGCTCATTGTCATTTGCTCCAAACCCAGATGACCAACTCCCTACCAACTATGACAACAACAAAGACGACAGTCACCATGGTCACTTGTAATGACTACATGAAAATGCCGCATAAATACAGACCAGGCCCGAAGAGAGAACCATGATGCAAAACTGGAAATACAGCTCTTGAGGGATAAAAAGTACATTTGTGAATCGGTCCCTTGGTACGGGTAGAGCTCCCAGGACTTTTGAAGACTTGCCAGGTATCCATGGCTATATGACGAGGCCAAGAAGACCAATATTTGAACACAGGTATCATTAACATATCCCATAGTACGCAAGAGGCCGTATCATAGATGTCATCCGACTCAAAGGTGTTCCATATGCACTGGAGTTCTATTAATACAGTCACATACATATATACAGGTCCTCTCTTCACCTCAGGGCAACGTTGTTCATCCACAGCTTGGGCCTAGAGGTCAGCATGGCTGGGATGGCAGGGAATATGCCAAGAAAGTACTGAGGGATGATGTTAGATCTTGTCACAGGAAGATGTGACTGAATGGTCCAGGGATCAAATCGAAGCACAGCAATAGTCTCCCCTCAGCCGGGCCCGCACAACCGGGGGCCCCTACCTAGGTAGGCATGTTAAAGTGTTACTTAACTCCCCTTGTTCACTCATTGCAGTGATTGACTGAGCAATTCACCAGGGTTGGAAAAGAATACATCAAGCCAGAAAGTTCCAGGAGACCTGTCTGCTTTCCATCCTTCTTCCTCAACATGACACATACCACAAAGATCGGATCACTCACAAGACAACGGTCCACACCCATCTAACACAAAACTCAAGCCACCTCAACGAGGCAAGATGCCAGCACAGAACAAAGCTCCCCAACAGCCCCCAATGTGTGTGCTCAATGCCCTTGAGCTAGGGGTCCAATCCGCCGAAAATACACACCGCTTCCTCTGCGATGTCTTCGGTCGACCCGACTCCGAGGCACCATCACGACTCTCACCGGACGGCAAGAAAGCCACTTTTCCCCTATACAACACTTGCATTGAGTTCATCACGGCCATGTCCTCCAAGCCCTCCGGTGGCGAGCACACGGTCAGCGTCAACCTCCTCGTCCAAGATGTCGACAATGTCAAGAAGGTGCTTGACCAACATAAGCATCGGTACAAGCTTGGACAATGGAAGGAATTGCCTGGACAACCGAAGTGGATCCAGTTCAAGGATTTGGATGGATACACCTGGATTGTTGGTGAATTTCCGAAGGAGTAAATCTTGGGTGGGAACCGAGTCTGGAGTTCTCTGTACACCAATTCAAGGGACAGGGACAGGGCCAGGAATACAGGTGCCAGCAAAATGACAGCAACGTGTGCCTAAAAAACGCCAGAAATGGCTTGAAAGTACATCCAAAGTCCCTGTATGTCCTTGTATATCGCTTGTAAACAACAGTATCTCATAACCATCCATCCAATACCGTCTACAGACTACTCGCAATGATAATGTATCGTAGCGTTGAAGCTCTTCGTCTTTCTTTTGGGCTCCCATGTCTCCCAGGTGCCACATTAACAGTCTTACCCAGTCGGAATTGCCATGCCCAATCTCGCTCTGAAACTAATAACACTTGCCAGCCTTAATATACGCAGCCGACATCCATTCTCGAATGAGATCGCGAACAGCCTAACATCTGTCACCATCCCCTCGTTCTTCAGCTTGACACTGATATGCCGATCGCGACAAATGATGACTGGCTTGCATGGAGTCTTTGAGAGTTTCCACGGCCGACTGAAAGGTCTCTACCTTGGTGGAACCCTTGGCACCTTTGGTCGGCGACCGATTAATTTTGCGGAATTCGTATGCACGTCCATAACTGTGGTTGGTTGACATCCGGGGGCCAGCTACACCCCCGTTTCCCCTTCGAGCTGGCTGCCTATCCAGGTGAGTCCGGTGCTTTGCATGAAGCTCGTCTCGGGTCCGTGATGCAAGCACACATCTTTCCCGCTATCTGGAGACTCGCGTTTGTGTTCCCATAAAGATCAGGTGAGCTCCCTGCAAGCCTCACCAAGCTGAATATTTTCCGGCCACGCCGTTGGGCATTCGGGAGTACGAGAGGGGGTTGGCGGTTGGCTTCTGTCAGCGCCCTCGCCCCTTGAGCACATAAACGAGTGAGGTTGGCGATGGCTTGGAAATGGGCCAAACGTCGAGGCTGGAGGATGCACCTCGTTGCGAAGATCACTGCCGTGAGGGCACAAGATATATCGAGATGCGTCGGCGACTGCCCAGCATCAAAGTGAGACTGGTGCAATTGTGCAATTGTGTAACCTGTGAGCGCCGACTTCGAAAGCGCCACATACGCAGTTGTGGGCAAGTGCGCCGTAGCAAGCATAGACCTATGAACAGTTATAAAAAGGGACATTTGAGATATATTTTCCTCCCAGTGCCGCTCTTCATTCCTCCCATCTCATCAGCGAGCAGCACCATCATTCCATGCTACCACGCTCAAAACATCTTTAATCCCAGACAACGCATACTTTTCACATTATCAATTCAGCTACCCGCTATCCATCATGTCTGAACCCGAAGCACCTGGGTTCACACCCGCCGCTGAGCGAACCAGCAAGGTCACTCTCCAAGAGAGGCAGTCTCATGTCAAGTATGAGACGCTGGAACTCTCCACCGATGATGAGCCCCTGGTAAAGGGGAACGAGCAAGCCAACCCCAACGGCAAGCGCCACGTTCTCATCCTCGGCGGCGGCGTGAGTGGTCTCCTGCCGGCCTGGATGCTGCTCGACAAGGGCTATCATGTTACCATTATCGCCGAGCACTGGGCTTGGACCCGGGACTTTGACAAGGAAAGGGCTGGCCAGTTCAAGAGCGGCTACACTCACATGGCTCCCATCATCAATACTGACAAGGCCATGTCTTATCTCATGGCGCTTGTCAAGTCCAAAGGGGCAGTCCTAGAGACGCGACCATTCAAGGGCCTCATTAGGGGTTTTGGCGAGAAGCTGCTCGAGGAACACAAGGCCCACGCCATCATCAACGCCACCGGCCTGGGAGCGAAGGAGCTGGCCGGTGATGATGACGTATACCCCGTCCGCGGCGCCATCAGGCGCATCGGCAACACGCGCAAGGGCGAGTTCCGCCACCTCAACGACGCCTTCCTCGTCCCCGCGCAGAGAGACTTGAACGGAAACCCAACCAAGACCGTTTTCATCGTCCCGCGCAGCGACGACGTCCTCTACGTCGGCTCGATCATCCAGCCCGAGGCCACAGACAAGCTCTCGCAGGACTCGATCGAGGTCGAGGTCATGTGGGACCGGGCGGGCGACTTTATCCCCCGCCTGCGCCATGCCGGGCCCGTCCCCGGCTTTCCCTTCGCCCAAGGCCTCCGGCCTTTCACCAAGAGGAATGTCAAGGTGAGGGCCGACGACAACGTTGAAACTAAATTTCCCCTAGTGCACAACTACGGGCACGGAGGATCCGGCTGGACACTGGGTGTTGGCACCGCGCGATGCGCCGTGCACATTGTCGAGCAGTTCATGGGGCTCAATGCCGAATCCCTCCTGAAGCGCTACGGCACTGGCAGGAACTGTCAAATTCTATTCCTGATCCCGACGCGAAAGTCACACAGGCCGTCCAAAGCATCAACGACAGCCAAAAAGCTGGTGACGTGCCCGACCCCGCGATCAAAACCCTCATCGAGCGGACTGCGGAGGCAAGGGACAACCTCGCAGCACTCGAGAAGGTACTAGAGAACGATGAGGACATCCGACTGCTCGACTATCAGGCCAGCGTCCACAAGAAGGCAGTAGACATCAACAAGCAGCTGTACGGAGAGGCGCCGGCGGTGGCAGCTCATTGACTGGTGGGCACTCGAGGCAGGAGAAGACATGTGGGAATGTTGCACAGCCCCTTGTGACTCATGGCACTAAGCCGGTAACATCTCAGCAAAGAGTGGTTCGGGGTACCATACAATGGCCTCGGTGGTGGCTGGGAATCCACTCTGTCAGAATGCAAAGACCGTACACAGCTCAGTAGTAGCACAATCAATACATCGCAGTACTTCCATTTATTTACCTACTGTAATCTTAGATTCTAGCTATGAGCCTGATACCATTGGAGCCAGGTTCTGGTTTTCAACATCCCATAATTGGAATCGAGCACATACTACCAACAATTCGGGTTCTCATATGAACTCGAAGGGTTTTGGTGGTTTTGGGCGGGACGTGGGGTTTCGGTAGGCCTTTTGTTTGGCATGCTGACAGCCACTCCAAACAAATGACAATGTAAAGCCTTGTTTCAAAAGAAAAATGACACGCATATCCATGTGTGCCTCGTGGCGAAACGTTGCGAATGTTCGACACTTTGTACAATTCACCGTCGCCTTGGTTGTGTTACCTGGCGATGCTTGCGGCGCTGGTATTGCTCAAGTCCTCTGCGGAACAACAACTCAGGCCTCGTACCCCTCCAAATCGTGCTTTGGTCAATCGCAGCTCCTAAAATCGCATCTCGGTGGATTTTCTCGAGTCTTGGCAAGCCTTTGCTCTGTCACCAACGAGGCTTTAAGAGCATTGCTGTTAGTCACCGGATTTGACGCTCGCTCGCCTCTTCTGTGAACTCTGTTCCCAACATGTCAGTGCGGCAAATCTAGCCGAAGCATAGAGAGCGTCGAATCGGTGCACGTGGGACGTGAGATGCTGCTGCCCAGCCTTTGCGCCCCTCATGTCAAGTGAAGGAGCGCATTGCATGAACACCATGTCACTTCTCTTTCTGACCATGTCCAAAACGGGTGGATTGTGGCGTTGTGACTGCTCTTGGGTGGTTATTCGACCTCGACGAGAATTTTGCGCGGGAGCCTTTGACCCGCCATAGCCGCTCAAGGTTTCATCAGGAATGATATAGTGACTCTAGGCATGATACAAACCAAACATTCCAGCAGACAATCGTTGCTCCAAAGCCCTGACTACCTCACCACCACCCATCAATTTAAAAATGCGATTTTCTACCTCCAAGTTCACTGTGCTCACCGTTTTGGGCTCTGCCGCCAGCGTCAGTGCCATTTGTCCTGGCTTCAACTACTAGTATGGTGTTGGCCATGTGCGCAACCTAGGCAATGGCGTTTCTAGATGTGAGTTTGCGCATCTCACCTTGCCCATCCTAGGCTAAAAACGATCTCCCTACGGATGCTGGATAATCTGCAGATTTTACTGCAAATGAATCTACAACGGGGCTAATCAGTATCTAAATCACAAGGGGACGTGTATGATACCAACTGCAGGGTCGTCGATGGCCTTACCACTACCCTCAATGTTTGCAACGATGGCATGTTCTCGTGCAGTCCAGCCCCCATCACCTTCACCAGGTACGGAAACAGCTTTACGGGCTTGACCTACGCCTGCCGCACCGACTCCAGGGCTGGGAGCTGCGGAGGCAACATCATCAGCGGCTGCGTAAGTTCACCTACATATGATTACGTGCACCAAGTCGGCATGTAGGCTATACTAAAAGCCCGCGTATATTTGATGTCTGCTCAACTAACAGAGATGCTTAGTGCCGTAACGACGGAAATAGGTTAGTGGCACCCGAGATTGAGGGATCTGAGCTAGGCTTCTTTGAAGAAGATTTCTCCGAAGAGGACCTTTTAGAAGAGGATTTCGCCGAGGAGTTCCTTGAAGACCTGTCTGAGGAGGACGTCGTGGGGATCAACTGAGCATAATTACCAGGGGAAAACTTCAAGTTCACGTGGGAAACAATTGCTTAGCTTGAAAGAACTGCTTTGTTGTAACCAAGGCTGGCCCCTATTACTTTGAACCTTGGGAGCAGAAGATAATGTCTTTACTGTGTCGTTTTAGGATGTTGGCAGTAATATTTTGAATGAATCATTCATTCTTGGGGCGGCCCTGACAGTAGCAACATTGATGATGAGTTGATGCTGAAGGGAGTAGCTACTACAACGCTCATAGAAAGGACTTGCCGTCTCAGCTTACAAACTCATAAAGATCCTCAATCCTCGGCAGAGCTCCCGAACAAGACAAGTACTTACTTATTGCCGCCAGATGAAACAAAGCATTATTCGAATATTTCGTTTTGTCATCGATAAAGTCCAAGAATTCCTGCTCAAATCACCCTTGTGAAAGAAATGGTCTCTGATATATATATCTCCATATGTTGTTTCTTCTCAGCTTCTAAACTACTACTACTCTGCATCATCACTGACATCCCAACAACTCTTCCCCACACACTAAGATCAACCTGAAACACAACTCGGATTTTAGCTACCAAGGTAAGCAACAGCAAAATGTCTTCCATCTTTCCGTCAACCTGGGTGCTGGACCACGAACAGCCCACGGCTTTCGTTGAAGCCCCTGGAAGACCACGCGGGGGAGCGATAACAACGTGGAACTGCTGCGAGTGCTACAGTAATAACGATTGCCGCTATCACCCTTACACTTGCTCTCGGGCTGGCTGTGGTCATAACCGCTGCAGTGCCTGCACCACAACCACTACCTATTTTTAAAAGGTAGCTTGGTGGTCCACCACTCTCACACCTCATAATGGAAAAACACCAAAAAAAAAAAAAGGCCGAGAAAAACCGAAAATGTTAAAAAAAAGTGGGTAAGAGGGAGTTTATTTAATTTGGGAAAGAAGGGGAAAACAGATAGATTGTAAATAAATAGTCCAAAATCTACACATTCGCTACCGGCCATCTTGAATATGATAGTCTTAACCTTGTGCCTTAACAGCTCCGGTGAGATGCTATGATTAAATGAATATGTAGGTATAAAGAGACTCTTATTTAAATGCTTAACATATGTAAGCTCAAAGTAGTATAGATGCCTGGCCTTCTTACAATTGTTCATTTACAACGCAGTTCACCCCCTCCTCTCCCGAAAAAAAATGACTATTGGCATTTGCGCCAGCTGGTTCGGCTACCATACCCCCATGCAGCTCTCCGAAGCCGGCTATTGCATTCTGCTGATGGATCGAGAGAAGCATACTATAAACAACGCCATCAACGTAGCTCCGAAGGTACAAGTAATTACCTCCGAAGATCAGGTCTGGATCGTACCTTTCTGCGGACGCCCCCCTAGGGCTTCACATGTTCTGTGCTGTGACTACCCCGGTCTTCAGAAACCAATCTCGTCACACTGCCATCAAAGTTGGTGTTCACAACAGTGGCCGCCGCCGTGGTGGTATTGTCCAGCCCCCGTGGCTTGCGGCCACTCGGGCCTTTCATCCCACTCCGCCCAAACGTCAGGAGAGAAATAGGTCCGCTGCCATCGCTAGTTTTGTTTTGATTTGGGTTGCTGATCTTCGGAGTCGACTTTATGCGGGAGCTTCCGTCTTTCCGGTAGATGGCCTGGCGCAGAACTGGTTGCATAACGGGGAGGGAGACTGTAAGGATACCCTTTTTAAAAAGAAAAGAAAAAAAGTCCCACATTAGCGCCCGTGTCTAGAAGCAACAAAAGAGACACTTTAATTGGTTACCATGTTACTTACAACAGCCGACTCGGCAATTGACCAAAGCATCACGTCCGTCGAGTCCCAAGTGTCGTCAATGGGGTTCAGCTTGTTCACGGCAACGACGCGAAGGATGGAGATGACAAAGATGAATGAACCGAGACAGAAGACGAGAGTAAGCTGCAACTTCCTCCGCAGGTTCGTCTGCAGGCGCCAGATGAGCGGCAGCGGGAGACATAGGATGATGGCGTCCAAAACAACATTTGTGATGAGAAAGAACAGCAAGATGCTGATGAGATAACGGTCTGAGCACTTGAGCTGGGCCACAGGCGCCTCGACCGTCGGCTGGACCGGCGGCAGGCAGGGGATCGTGAGCACAAAAACGGCAGTGAGGGCGTAGAGGGCGGTGAAGGCCAGGATGATGCTGCACACAAGGTGGAGGCGTCTGCTTGGGAAGATGCGGCGGTACAGGAAGATGGCGGAGGCCTTGATGCAGAAGATGACCGGGGCATACATGGCGCTCGAGGCGATTATCATCTTGTTCAAGGCATCAAAGTTTTCTATGTGCTCGACGACTGCGACGATTGTATGCCGGCCCATGCCCAGATCTGTGACATGGGCCACCAAGCCGACGCCAATAGTGGTGAAGATCTGTCGCAGACATATCAGCCGGAAGAAAACTCAGGTTCTAGGAATTTTCAGATCTCCATACCACTGCCAAGCCTGCGAAAAGGTCATCTAATCCAAAGGCCTGCTTCGTGATGCGTCTGGCGTAGAGCCGCAGCCCCAGTGCCACATAGGCAATGATTGTACAGACTGCCAGAGTTGCACGAATCTTGGGTTGTGCCGTTTGGTCGTACAGTGGCACCTGAGCTTGCAACTCGGGGGGCAGCACAGCGAGAACTTCTGGCGGGATGCTTGTCGAGTTGAAGTCCATCTTGAATCAGGGTCCCCGAGGATTGTGACAGGAAGTTGTAGAAATATCTTGACCAGGAACCTGTTTGCCCTTTCCACGGTGTGAGTCTAATGAACAGCACTCCAACGGGTACCCGGGCTTCAATAAGATATAGATGGCCAAGGAGAAGAACGCAGAGCCTTACCCAAGCTGCTTACTCATGCTGAAAAGTGGTCGCCAATGCCGTTGAGAGGGACACCAGCTGACGTCCAGGCAGATCATGCAGGATTGGGGGCGGGAGGCGCAGGCGCATTTAGAACCAAACGCCCAACTGCGCATCCTTTCACTGGTTGACAAGCCACTGGGTTCTTGTCGTGTCGCCAACACAAGTAGTCCAGCATGTGCGGGTGACATCGTTCACTGTATGCGGGACGCAGATCCTCGGCATTTCAGCCGACTACTAACATGGTGCTAGGCGAGAAGTGTTGGTATCACCTTAGTGGGAGGTGGCGTTGATATGTCTTGTATGCGCCTTAGACATTGCTCCTGCAGGAAGTCTTTGCCAATAAGTTTGCTTGGAATACCACGCCTCTCAGCACTGGGGCTTTTCAAGTACGATCGACGGATTCTGAGCACCTCAGCAGATCCGGTTGAAAAGTACTGCACATCAGCGGACGGCTTGGCCGTGTCGATAAGGAGCAATCGTCTCGAAATTCACCATCCCACAATGTTTTCTGGCATCTCTTTCGCCTCTAATGTGTTTCTTGATAATTGAAAGAACCGCAGACGCCACCTACACTATCCTAGTTTGTAACCTGGAAGATCGTTCAACCCGGGATCTTCGTGTTACCCAGTGCCATTCCGAAAATAAAGAAATGTGGGCTGCTTCGTTCCCTGCCACATGTCCATCAAGGCCCGGGTGAAGTGTGAAAGAAGAGGCTGTGGTGAGCCTCTTTCACCACGGACTTGATTTGATTTGAATTGCAGCAGCGCTTGGGCAATTCCTTTGCACTGGACGGCAGAAATGATTGAATTTTGGAAACCATTGCCACAATTATATGCACTGCTTTGGTGGTGTCCATGAGCGGGACTGAAGTAGCTGGTCTATAAGCAGATGCTGCTAGGCAGACGGTGGATAGGCAAGAGCCGGTTGTGCGGCGACTGTCAAGTGTTTTAGTGCCATTACATATGATGTAGAAGTCAATGCAAGGAATTCTAGGAGGTGCAGTGCGTCTTTTGGCAAGGCTAATACAAAGTAGGTTCTGGGTGAGCAGTTAAGCAGACATGCTGCATTCTCTCTTTTGCCGTAGAGTCGGGTGGGTGAGAACCGGTGTTGCGGCTGAAGTTGTCCACGAGGAGTGACATTAGAATTTCTGAGATAAGTTGTCTTAATATGTATGAGGATATGATTTGTTCAGATTGCCTTGTATATAACACGTGATGTTTAGAGTAACCGCTTCAAAAGACGCCTTTTGTATGCAATGGTGATGACTGCCCCCCTTTCACAGCGTCGCGTTCCTCACAAACCCATTCATGCCGGTTCCCAACAGGGGCGGCTTCTCGACCGGACTCCTCCCATTCCGATATTTCCACAGCCGACTCAGCTCCTTCACCTTCACCTTCTCGGTAGGCAGGCCCAGCCTCTTCCTCAGAGCGATGGGGCTCTCGCCATTGTGCATCAAGACCTCCCCAGCCGCCACGGCCGCCGCCCCAGACTTCTTCCTCTTCTCATCCTCCCCGTCCGAATCGTCGTCCGAGCACCCGAGGTAACTGCTCGCGAACGCCTCCCTCTCGTTGGCGCCGGCGTCGCCCGACTTCCCGACGACGATCTCGCTCTCCATGAACTCGTTTCCCACCTCTCGGCATCCGATCAGCTTCCCTGTGACGGCGTCCTTCGCAAGAGGGAACATCCCGTCCAGGTAGTGCTGGACAAACTGGTGGCCCCCGCGGCCGTCGGTGCGCGAGAACAGCCGCCCGATGAAGCGCGGCATCGACCGGTCCGCCGTCGCCGACGTCGCGAAGTGCAGCACCCCCCACAGCGCCACGAAGTCGGTCGTATGCGCGTAGTGCTCGATGTGCCCGATCGCCCGCTCGGACTGCGTCGCCGGGCTCGAGTGCGACGTCTCCTGCTTGGCCAGTCCGTGGGGAGCGGCCGGGTGGGCGCTTCCGTTCGGGGCCAGGCCGCCTGTGCTTGTCCTGATAGGCGGCGGTGGGGATGACCTCGGGGTAGGCGGCCGGCGGATGCGGTTGCGTGGAGATTGGCCGGGGTCCACGGTTCCTCCATTCGCCTTCTCGACACCAGACTTATCCGAGGACGGTCCTGCGTTTTCGCCATCGCGTGCCACAACGTCTAGTGATGCCTCCAGGGGATTCTCTTCCGCCTTGGATTGGGACGCCACGGTTCGGTATGGGTTGTTGAAGTGGTTCGCAGCGTTGCCAAAGGTATACACTTCGAGCTTGCCGAGCAGGTTCTGGGGCAGCTCCTGCAGCAGCCAGTCGAGGACCAGGCCGCCTTCGATGCCTCCTTGGGAGTGCAGTACGAAGACGATCTTGGAGTACTGCGGGTTGTACAGTTTCTCCTTGATGATACGGTAGCACACCCGCACGTCGTTGGTGGCGTAGCCAAGGTTCCGCTGGATCAGGCACTCGATGACATCAAAAATGACTCCATCGGTCCTGTTATGAACCCCAATGATAGGCCTGCCGAAGGTCAAGGCCAGCCGGTTCAGGCAGCTCTTCAGCCAGTGCTCGCCACAGGCTACCCCGTTCAGGAATATCCACTGCTCGTGGGCAAACTTCTTTTGATCGGGCGCCGCATACTCGGGGTCTGAGTAGAACAAGACTTCCTTTGAGTTGATAAGAGTGCAAAGACCCTTGTTCACGCCCACGAAGACTGCCACGATCGCCAATGTCGTCCACAGCGGAAGGATGAGAGCCACGGGCGGGAGGCAGATTATCATGACCAGCTGGAGGATGGCCAGGACGACGTGGATGAAGACACACCACAGGTTCCCCCAGGTGGGCGCGAGCTCGGACAAATCCCCTGAGTCGAAGGGCTTCCAAGGCAGAATGATGTATGGGAGGGCCCAAATGTAGTAGAAGAAATAGTAGATGTCCCACAGCAACAGCCTCGAGGGCCTGTCCGTGTAGCTGTAGTTGATGACAGTCTGGTTATCGACCTGGCTGCCGTAGAAGTCGACCGTGCTGGACGAGGCCGTGGACGAGGCAGAAGCTGAGGTGCCATCGCGGCGGAGGGCAGGCGACTTGAACAGGCGGCGGAGCATGGGGCCGTCGGTGGGCTCCATGCTCGAAGCTGGCGAAGGAGAAGCTGGGTCGAGCCAGGACTTGAAGCCGTCAAAACGAAAAACACAGGTGAAGAGAGCAGACAAGAGAAATAAAAGCCCGCAGAACAAGACGAGGGAAATCATCGAGCCGGATGCTCGAGTTGCACGAACAGCGCTCCTTTGTACGGCAGCTGTACTGTCGAGGGCGCGACGTAGGCCAACTCAGGTAGCTGGTCACAAGGAGGCTGCTGTCTGGGGAAATGGAGTGAACACCATATTCTTTGCAGCCTGGCGGCTGACCACCTGCAGGAGACGCCAGCACCTGCGACCACCTGCACAGCCTTGGAGCCTTCAGCCCACAAGCCCACAGACACAGTCAGACCTCAGACGGAATGCCAGCGCCCTGGCCTGGCTGTCTTTGTTGGATGCTACGGTAGCACCGTCCTGGATTCTGGGCCATCTGATAATCTGGCCCTTGCGAGGGTTTCGGGCACGGCTGCACGCTGCAGGCTGCAGATCGTGCTCTGCTCGCCTGCGTCTCGACATCGTGCGCGAGCCAATCGATGGCGGCCTTCATTTCGAGAGCCGGGCCACAGCCCCCCCTATTCTCCTAGCGCTGACCCATGACTGTGGTCCAGGTTCGGTGCTGCCCGTTGGGCGATCCCGTCTCTCGGCTCGCTTCCGTGACGGGTCGGTGAACGAGCCGCCGTTGTAATAACTTTAGGGGTCCAGAGCGTTTCGGAGCTGAGTCGAGGCCAAGACGTCATCTCTGTCAGCGGTTCATCCCCCCTTTTTTCCAGGCTACTGCCCAAGCGAGCCTAGCCTGGAGCATGTGGACATCTTTCCTGCCCGGCTAGGCTTAGTTGGGCCAAAGCTGAATGAGTCTAAGTTGCCGTCTACGGAGACAACCTCCAAACTAACCAGACCGCGAGACAGCAGCCTGCGAAACGAATTAAGAGGGTCTTGCTCAACTGAAAGCCTCATGGTCAGGTAACCTTCGTTTCGCTATTTTGCGCTGAACAATGGTCGATCGGGCACTATATCTGACCAATCCAGAGCATTACCTAGGCCCATCGGCGGCCAAGCAAAGTGCAATATGGAATAGTGACGCAAGTGCGGATACAACTACTACACATGCACAATGTCGTCTCCGTCATACACGATGATCGATATGAGGTAGGTGTAGGCAGGTGCAACTATGATCATGTGCTTGACGCTAAGATGATAGACTTGCATATATGTCCACGTGGGCGAGAATCAATGCTTCAAGTCATTCATCGCTGCAAATTCATAGCACTGAACTCAAAAATTAGTGCTGATTTTGTCCTGATGTGGCGAGTGGCGTGAGAATACAAAAGAGATTTCAATGCACTTCAAAACTCGGTCTCCTACCAGTAACTTTCACTGGCTGATCTCGTTCATTTCAGAACATCAGCGCATAATATAAATGTAACTGTAAAAAGCAATGACCAAGATTCCTAGATACTGCGATATGAGATCAGCTCGTACAAAGAACAAGGTGATGACGATGACATGGGATAGCCAGTGAACCACAAAAATAGGTTTTGGAACGAACGTGTCGTCGTTAGTAAATAGCTACCAGTGAAGACTTGTTTGTTCCATTGTGTTCTCGACGGTCATACGTGTGACTCGTACAAGCATAAATTGCATTACACAGATGAGACGGATGCCAGCCGTCAAAGGTCGGAAGGGCAACCGAACCTTATATTTGGCCTGGTTGTATTACACTGGCCGGCTATTTAAAAACTCCAAAGGCATAAGGTCACACACGAGTGGTAGACTGCATTTGCAGGGCGAGACCGTGAGGCTGGCAACTCCCTCAGCCTGTAGTGAAGAACAACGATGAGGCCGATAGGACACCAGGTACATTGAGGGTCGCAAAATGATGAGATAGGCATCCCCATACTGTGCCATTCAAGCCAGGGCAGAACCAAGACCAGAAAGTTGGGTTCACATGTACTTGTATTGACCTTTAAGACTGAACAAAATATACAGGTAGCCTGTGCATACGGCAAAACAGATGACAATACCAATGTCGGTCGATCAGAGTACTTCAAAGTTGTTGATATTCTTGAAGCCGAAACATCCCTTGTTCCTGTGTCATCGAACGACAAAGTTTGACAGAATGGATGTCCACAAGGCTTCTCACCGAGGATAGACATCAGGTGTGGAGAATGTTTCCGCACCTACACAACCAGCACCTGGGGCAGCATTCGTGCGGCTTACTATGTATGAGCAAACCTGCCAAATGCGAACAAGTCTGCCAGCCGCCTGAATAAGTCTAGTGCAACTCAACTCGACCACTTAGGACTGTGGAGAATGCCAACAGGTAGCGCATGGGATGTTGTTTGGGGGCCTGCGGCGCCTAGTTGCACCAGCTAAGTCACACGGCATATGCACGCAAGGCGAAACCGCAGGAGAAGGCCGTCAGTGTTGCCTTGTGTCTGCCTAACCAAGTTTACATTATGTATACACCATGACCATGTAAGCACAGCCACCAACAGCCTGGAGAAACTCGCATCTTTTCCTTTCTTTTTCTTTTCTGTCGGATCAAATCGATCTAAAGATTTGAGGATTTCAAGGCTTCTCCATTCGCCTCTGTAATTACCCCAGCCTTTCACCACGCGGTGCCATTTTCTTCAGCCCAGCTGAACGCCCAGTTCAGAATAAGACCAAGTTTATCTTATCTCACGGAACGGCAGCCATGGACGTCTCCTCGTCCCTAAGGGGCTTATCTTCGGTGGCGATTGGGCCAGTCCTAATGATGAACTGGCGGAGAATCGTCGCTTACTTCCCGGCGGTCGAAAGGCTCATCGACGGACTAGACTCGGAGAAGCTGCTTCACGCGCTGTTAGGGACAAGGACCGGTCTCTCCATGCTGGGCGTTCTGGGTTCAGTCGTGGCTGCCCACCTCCTCCACCTGGCCTGGAATAGCGCCTGGCGCCTCGTGATGAGCAATTTCTACACCAAGTGCTCTCTCTCCGAGCACAGTACTCTTCACGATCAGGTGCTGAGCTGGGTCACCAAGAACCCCAGATTCCAGTCCGCCACGAGGGTCAAAATTATGGACCGAATTGACGACACGGTGGAAGTCTCGGATACAGAGGACTCCATTGACATCGAACGGATGGTGAATGAGATAGTACGTCATTTCAATTGCGAGGCTGGCTTATGCGCGGACATCTAAAATCAACAAGCTGATCCCCTTATTAGCCACCCACTTTCCGCCCCGAGATTGGCCAGGTCCGCTTCTGGCACAAAGGTGCATACATCTGGATGTTCGAACGCAAGGACAAAAGGCTCGAGTATCACGGAAAGCAGGCGCCGGACAACTGGCTGGACATTTACTGCTTCAGCTGGAATCGAAGCACACGTAAGTCCTCTACTCTTTTATTCGTAAAAGTCGTACTACATGTTTCCAAAACATACCGACGGAGGAAGGGAATGAGATGTGCTATTCTTTACTGACCGGATCCAAAGAGCCTTTAAAGGACTTGCTCCTGCAAATTCTGAAAGAGGACGCTGCTGAAAATTGCGACAAAACACTCATATGGAGTCCCGGGCAACAAATGGGTCCCTTCGGCAACATGCCTTACTGGTCGAGGTCTCAGTCACGCCACAGGCGGCCACTGAGCACCGTCATTCTGAACCAGCAGCAGAAAGACACAGTGGTCGACGATATCGCCAACTTTCTCTCTCGCTCAGGGGTTCTGTGGCACAAGGAGAAAGGACTGCCTCTGTAAGTACCCGCTGCTCTTTTCCACAGTGGCGGTTTCCACAAAATTGGACAGCCATTCTTACACACGGGAAGCCGCCTGGGTTATCTATTCAGTGGCCCTCCTGGCACCGGTAAATCATCCCTGGCCTTCGCCCTTGCCAGCAACTTTGGTCTTCCCGTCCACATGATCAACCTGTCGGCCCCGGGGCTCAGCGACACCGATATAGAAGCGCTCTTTTCCAGCGTCCCCCGCCATTGCATCGTCCTCCTGGAGGACGTCGACGCGACTCAGCCCCTGTCAAGGAAGCTGGCGGAGTCGAAGGGCACCGACGAGCAGAGCACCTCCCTTCCGCCATTGCCACCTTCAGATGATGACGATACGCCACCGCTGCCATTGCCGCCAGGCCGCAGGGGCAAGCGTGCGGGCAACAAGCGCGGCAACACTGTCACACTGAGCGGTCTCCTCAACGCCATTGACGGGGTCGCGGCCTCAGAAGGTAAGTCGGCATGCGATATTCCCACTCGAACAACAATGACGGGGAACTTCATTTTCTGACAGGATACCACCCTCACCGGGTGTGACACAGGACGCATCCTGATCATGACAACCAACCACATCGAGAACCTCGACGAGGCGCTGATCCGCACGGGGCGCGCCGACCGCATCGTGACCTTTACGAACGCCACCAAGCAGCAGGCGGGTGAGATGTTCGCCAACGCCTACACTGGCGCCCGCTGGGGCCAGCACATGTCGCGCGAGGCCGTGGCGCGTCACCCTGAGATGGAGGAGTGGGTCGACGCCGACATCCCGCCGCTGGCGGCCGAGTTCGCGGACCGGATCCGGGGCGGCGAGTTCAGCCCGGCCCTGCTGCAGCAGTACTTCAAGGACTTCCGCGCCGAGCCGCGCGCCGCCGTCCGCGAGGTGGAGGCCTGGATGAAGGACCCGCGCGCCTACCGGAAGCCCTCGCTCGGGCACAGGCCTGCCACGGCTGTGGCTGCGTCGGGGGACGAGGGGGAGAGGCTGAACGGACACTGCAATGGTTCTTCTAGAGTTCCGAAGGCACCTGAATAGGCATGGCCTTTTGGTGGGCCAGATATGACTGCCTCAACCACGGGTCGGACGTGGGGATGCACGGCAATAAAATGCGCGAGAAGATCACTGTAGAACTTTTCTTCAACCTTGCTGAATAGAAGGCATTGCGGTTGTAGGTAGTTCGGCACAAATTGGAGATTCTGGAGGAGAATAGACGACGTGGGCCCATTGCATCTCTCACGTCAAGATACTGGTGACTAATCGCATGTCTGCAAACCTGGAAAGAGATTAATTAGACTTCAGGCTTCTCAACTTCAGTTGTAAAACTTGCTGGGCCGATTGTTCAAACTCCGCCATGCACCCTGAGTAATTACGCCATACAAGTGCATACCCACAGCGGGCATTCTTGAACACCGTGAGTCTTGAGCAGCCTGGCCGTCGTACTCTGCCAAATATGTTTCAAAAATAAGTCTTGGCTTGCATGATACTAAGACAATAATTTATTTCGTAGACAGGATTTTCTACATCAGCATCGACAGTCGAAAGAGGAGAAGAGTTTCAAGACCAAAAACCTGTCGGTTGATTCTTCATCCACTTACCAAAGAGCAACGACTCGTGGAAGAGGAGAAGGCCGCGGGCCGGAGGTTCTGTTTTCGGTCCGCAGTCCGACTGTGACCTATTAATAGGCCACCACAGCCTTACCGTAGTTCCACTTTATTTTGGAGACGACTGACAAGGCGACCGTGTGTTGTGGACGGCGGGAGGGTCTGTGGCTAGGGGGCATCTATCTTGAGAAACATCATTTCGTTTACCACCGGTATAGGGAGAATTTGGGGAGACGTCAAGATCTTGACGGGCACAGAATGTTGTCTTTGTAGTTTATAAATGTGAGCGGTGGCAAAGGCGTTGGATAACGGATTCACTCGCTTCTCATCACCATCATCTAATCCAACTTCACCGTCCCTCATTCAGCCTCACCGGCATCACTCTCTTTACGAACAAATCTGTCACTCATTTCGACCAGAAAGCTTCATATCTCACCCACAAGTATAAATAATACTTAAAGTCCATCACCATGTCTCTCCGCACCGCTCTTTTCAGCCTGGCCCTCTTGGCCGGCTCCGCCTTCGCCGCACCGGCCAAGCTCTCAAGCCGCCAAATCATCGACCACAATGCCGTGGCCTCGTTCCCGGAGGCTGTTCCGGACAGTGCAGTCGGCAAGCTGATCACCAAATACGCACCACACCTCAGGATCGCGGACGGCTGCGTCCCGTTCCCGGCGGTCGACTCGATGGGCAACATTGGGTAAGCTGTCTTCCCATACAATCAACGGACGAGCGCAAGGCTATCCGAGGAATACAATTTTATCTAACATGCGTCACAGTGATGGCCTGAAGCCAACGGGCGATTCGGAAGGCGTGCGCAACCAGCCAGGGCCAGGTCTACGCACGGGCAGCGACCTTCAGGGACAGGTTCGCCATCATGTATTCCTGGTATATGCCAAAGACAGAAGCCTCGGCCCACCTCGGGCACCGGCACAACTGGAACAACGCCATCGTTTGGCTGTCGGACGACAGCGACCAGGCGGCGCTGCTGGGGACGTCCATCTCGCAGAAGTCGTCCTACGACCAGAGCGCGACGCCGGCGCTCGACGGGGCCTCCCCGCTCATCTACTACGAGTCCAAGTGGCCCAACGTGCACAAGCTGTACTACGACACGCTCGAGGGCCAGCAGGAGAGCCCTCCGCGTGGTGGACGTGCCGCTGGTCGCGTGGGACAGCCTGCCGACCGCGAGCCAGGAGGCCCTGGCCACTGCTGATTTCGGGGACGAGGTGGTGCCGTTCATCGATACCCACTTCAACGACAAGCTCGGCGCTGCCTATGGGGCTTAGGCTCATGCTCTAGTCATGAGGGAATTGGATTGAGGGTATGGCGTTTTGGCGTTTGGGTCTGGAAAACTGTTGGACTGGGGTTTCATCTTGGGAAAAGGGAAGGGTAAGGGCATTTGGTTCTGGTAATTGATAATGGCAGCCGCTTAATAATTCAACTGTGACGCTGTCAATATTTCTGGACTCGTTCAAAGACGTGACATGGATGGATGACAAGACGCAGTTCGACTGGATCGAGTGACCGAGTTACATGTGTGTGCATTTGAGGAGGACAGGGGACACGTGGATTTCTGCTTACAATTTGCTTGCAATTTGGTCAGAAGGAGCAACTGCATTGTACAGATGATCCTCGACTGGCTTCGGACCTGTTCATCGCCGTGGCTGACTCATCTCAGGCGACGTACTTGGTATGGCTGCCGGTGACCAAGACCTTCTTCTCCTCCCCTGCCTTGACGACCTTCCTGATCTCCATGCTCGTGTAGGCCAGGTTCCTGCCGAGCTTGTTGAGCCAGCACTCGACCTCGACCGTATCGCCGACCTTGGCACTGGCGACATAGGAGATGTGGATGTCGGTCGACACACCCGTCTTCTGGCCGCCACTTTTTGCGATGATGGACATGCCGGCGGTGAAGTCGACTATTGCGGCAGAGGTGGTGCCGTGGATGCCACCGAGCGAGTTGACGTGCTTGTCCTCGAGGACCAGGTGGCCAATGACGCGGCCGTCTGAGGTGGCGGAGACGGGCTTGATCGTTGGGATGAGGATGTTGTATGGCTGGGAGGTTGTGATCTTTGTGGCCCATACTTGGTCAACATGGCTGAGCACCGAGACTGGTGCGTTGGAGGGCGTTGAGTCTGCCATGTTCGTTGTGTGGTTGAGATATGTTCAAGGCGGATATGAGAGCGCTGGTGGGTGAGTGAGGGAGGCGGGTTGCGCAGTCCGAGAGATGAGGCAAGTGTCTGAATAACGCTGGCAAGGCTTGCGACGAACCAAAGTATGTGAGACGGATCAAGGTTGCACAGTCAGATACAAACCTCAAGGGAAACTAATGGACCAACAATACGCCAATAGACCACCTTCCTGACCCAATCTCACGACATAAACCGGTCCCGGAGTGACTTTGTTGAGCAGCCAGCGCCAGCACTTCGTCTCTGCTGCAGGTGGCTTAAATGTGTGGCTTTGCTGTGGCTTCGACTGGCTTCGGCTCGTCCAGGGGTTCCGTTCCTGAGCCGGGACGAGACCAAGCTACCTAGGTAGCCCCCAGTTTCCAGGCGGGGGTGGAGCCTCCCGGGTCCTTGCAGGGATGCTGACGCACCTCTTGGCGCTAGGCCGGCCAGGCTGGGTCACTGGCGTTGTGATCCGTCATGGGCAGCCGCTAGCTGAACCGCCGACCAGGCGGACAGGCGGACAGGCGAGCAGTGGGCACCCCGCGGCTCGGCCACTACTACCTTGGCTGTCTGGGTGGACTACGCCGTAACCCCTCCTCTTCCAGCTGAACCTAACGCAGCCCGTCTATGGTCTCACCACCAGCCCTCCCACCCACTCCTCGCTCCGTCACTAGCTATTAGTTGTACTGACCACTTGGACCACAACAGCACCTTGGTCAGGCACCGTTACAACTCCTCTTCCCCCGCCCCTCCAACCTCTCCCCTGCCTCTCACAAGCAGCTCGACGCCGCTCTCCACCCTCCCCGCCTCTCCGCGGCCTCGTCCAGCTCTTCTCTCTCTCTCCGCCTTCTGCTCCTGGCCATCCTCCTCGACTTCAGTCCATCACTCGATCTCCGTCTTTCTTTGAACCAAAAGACAAACCACCAAAGAAAGAACCCCACCAAACCAACCATGGCCTCTGTCGAGCACTGCCTCTTCTGCTTCGAGACTCTCGCCGCCAAGCTCGAGGGCCGCAAAGGCCTGGACCTAGACGACGTCCAGAGCTCCTTCGCCGAGTACTCCGCCTTCCTCGACTCCTCCGACGACACCACCGCCGGGGCCGCCAAGCCCAGCAAGCCCGCCAAGAAGCTCCCCGCCCTCCGCCGCCTGGTAGGGAGCTCCAGCTCCTCCAGCTCCTCGTCATCCTCCCTACAGTCCCCCGAGTCCGCCTCCGGCAGCTCGAGCTCGACCTCCCTTTCGGCAAACACCTCGGCCACGTCCGTGGCGGGCGGCGCGTCAGAGCCCGTGACAGATCCTAACGCCGAGTACCCCCTCTTCGTGACGTGGAACAAGGCGGCGGGCGGCGGCGAGTACCACCTGCGGGGCTGCATTGGGACCTTCGAGGCGCAGCCGCTGGCCGAGGGCCTGTCGTCGTACGCGGTGATCGCGGCGCTGCACGACAGCCGCTTCAGCCGGGTGTCGGCGCGCGAGCTGCCCTCGCTGCAGGTCGCCGTGACGCTGCTGACCGACTTCGAGGACGCCGACGACGTCCTCGACTGGGAGCTGGGCACCCACGGCATCCGCATCTCGTTCCAGTGGGACGGCCGCCGCCACGGCGCGACCTACCTGCCCGACGTCGCCACCGAGCAGGGCTGGACCAAGGAGCAGACCCTCGTCAGCCTCATGCGCAAGGCCGGCTGGGAGGGCAGGCGTGACCGCTGGAGGGAGGTCGCCGACGCGGGTGCCATGAAGGTCGTCAGGTACCGCGGCGACAAGGAGCAGGTCGTCTACGACGAGTTCAAGGGCTGGAGGGACTGGGCCGACGAGCACTCGAGTCAGAAGTAAGTGAGGGACGGGGGAATAGAGAGTGTGCACCGTCTGCGTGCGCCTGGGAGACGGCGTATTCGGAAATAGGATGGAGTTAAACGTGGTATACGGTATCTTGCCATGGCGTCTCGGGGTTATTTACGGCAAGCCAGCCAAGCTGGTGAGAGGGCGATATGGGGCGAGAGGTAATGGATAGAAAGGGCTCTTTCCCTTTTCCGGCATGTCAGTCAAGACGTGAGTGGATAGATGCAATGGTCTCAAGAAGCAGTTTAGCACCAGGGTGGTCAATACTGGTCGTGATGTGATAGAATCCGCATGAAGACAGCCCGAGCCGAAAATCTATTGACAAGAGTGCGCTCATCACAGGCTCATTCAATTGGCCAACACTTCGCCCTCAAGCAGAGCCTCAAAAGGCAGGAAGACAGCATGCAACAGTAAATCCAAGAATCCCAAGGAGCTGAGATCCGCCCTGCACTCAGCTCAGCTAACAACCTTTGCTACGCCTGGTCCTCCAAAACGCCTGGCCACAAAACCGGGGGATATAATGGCTTCAAGGGAATCAGGGGGATATGGGAAGAAACAACCCTCCAGAGCAAACAGTGCATAAACACGTATACAGACAAAGGAAACGGGGGAGAAACAATGGGGAGGTAAGACGAATCGATCAGAACGAGATCGAGTGGACTTTGGCCGTGTCAGGGAAAACAGACCCACGCCCAGCGCGAAAACAACCCATTTGAGAACCAGCCCAGCCGGGCTCAACCAAATTAAAAACACCCACACTTTTTGCCGCATCGTACGCATCATCGCCAACGGTAAATAAGCCACGGACGCAGATCGGTCATCTTCCCCTCCCACCATCTGTCTCTGTCACAAACGCTCTCCTTTTCCTCCTCGCCCTTTATCCTCCGCTCTCTGTTCAAACTCTCTCACCAACACCTTAGCTTCCTCCAGAACCCACCGCCTGCCCTCCTCTCGTCCCCGTTGGCCGTGGCGCCGTCATGGGGCTTCTCATTTGTCCTGTCGCTCCTCGGCAGCGGGCTCAGAGGCTTGGTGGCGCCCCGCCTGTCCAGCTGCCCCGGGCCGGAGGAGCCTCCCCCGGCGCCGGAGACGCCCATCTCAGCCAGACGGCGTGCCTCGACGACCCTCCGGACGATGAGGGCGAATGTCTCCTCGATATTGACCTCGAGGCGGGCGCTGGTCTCCATGAAGCCGCAGCCGCGGCGGCGGGCCCAGTCCAGCCCCGTGGCGGCGCTGACCTGCCTGCTCTCCTGCAGGTCGCACTTGTTTCCGGCGACGATCTTGACGGGCGGCACGGTCTTGGCGGACGAGCTGCTGCCGTACTCGGCGGCGGGGCTGACGCCTGCCTTGCGGGCGCGCTGGGCGTTGTCCATGCGGGTCTCGGCCTCCATGTCGATCAGGTCGTTGAAGTAGCCCAGCGAGTCGAGCGAGTCCTTGACGGTGATGTCGTAGACCATGAGGAAGGCGTCGGCGCCCAGGTTGGAGGTGGCCCACATGCCGCGGTACTCCTCCTGGCCGGCGGTGTCGGTCAGGTGCAGGTGGTATATGGCGCCGTCGATGCGGCGGGTGATGCTGTAGCTGTCCTCGATGGTGGGGTCGTACTCGGACGTCCACTGCGACCGCACCAGGCGCAGGGTGATGGAGCTCTTGCCGCAGCCGCCGTCGCCGCAGATGGTTATGGAGATGGGGATCGGGGGCTGGTTCTGGGCGGCCTGCTGGTGGCCGTGCGTCGTGTTCTGCGAGGCCGCCCGCGGGCGATTCGCGGAGCTTGCTGAGGAGGGCATCTTGCGCAGGGGCGAGGGCGTGAGGTTGGGCGAGGCGGCGGCGGCGGCGTTAGGGGCGGGCGGGGTGAGGGTGGAGCGGTGCGAGAGGTAGAAGGGCTGGTTATGCGACGAGGAGGAGGGGGTCGTCGGGACCAGGATGGAGTGCTTGCGCGAGATGGAGAAGAGCTCGTTTGCCGCCAGATTGCCGTCGATGTCGGGGGATGTTGGCTATGTGGGGGTTTTGTGGTGTTGAGGGGACAGGATCGGGTTCATGCACCAAAGCGAGATGGCATTCGACCGGCAGGAGGATGTGCGCAGGAGGAGTAGTGATAAAAGATGATGTGACCAAGGAGGAGATTGGTTGTTGGTCTGGTGGCTGCAAAGTAAAATCGTTTGTTTCGACGCCGGGCCGAAGAGTGTTCCAAGCTTGAGGAGGAAGTGAGCGATCGGTGGGTATCGAGAAAAGGGCGGTTCGAGGGATGGTCGGACGAAGAGCGATGGTGTCGCGTTGAAACGGGGCAGACAATTGATAGCCGTGGGCGGTGGTGGATGTCGGGCAGGAGATGCGATTGGAACTGGTTGAAACTGATGAAGCTTGGGTCACGATGAGGCAGGCAGAGAAGGTCCGAAGAGCAAGCTCTCTCTCTGTGCGTTGTACGTGCGTGGTGTCTCTGCTTCTCTTGTCTCACTGCGGGGTGGGGCCGATGACAAGTGCTCCAAGTAAGAAGAGGTGATGAGGAGAAGGGAAGGAAGGTAGCGTAGAAGGCAATCGATCGACTAGTGTCTACTGTATGCGGTAGCGTGGTGTGCCACCCAGGTAGATCTAATAATACTAGGTAATAATGATAATGACAACAACAAAACAATATTAATAACAAGAAGAGGAGGCGAGACGAAGTGCGCCCGGTGGTTGATGAGCAGCAGCAATCGTCACAGCAGCAGCAGTAGCAGTTGTGCTCGAGCTATGCAGAGCTGTGGCCGGGCAGGATTGGGTGTCGGGCAAGTGAGAGGCGAGGAATAGGAAGAAGAAAATGCTAACTTGTATCCAGATCTAGCTGTTCTTTTCGTCTCGTTAGATTAATTGTGCACTGCAGCAGCAGCATATTTGGATTGATTACCCACTCTGGTGCCTTCCCCGAGATATGACAGGACCCAAACGGGAAATATGCTCGTGCGCCGTCGCAGGGGGGGTTTGGGTGGATGCGAGGAGTGGATGTGCGGTACCAAGAGCAGATCTCAAGGTTTATCTTAAAAGTTTAGGTATCCTTTTATACGCGTGGCCAGGCCTACGGCCTGGCCGTGATATAAAGGCGCAGCCTCCCTATTTATATTGGGTGGGGAGGCTGCGTTAAAGAATTAATTATTGCAGTATATAATGCTAAGCTAAGGATATGCATAGCTTAATATAAACTCCCTATTTATTTTAAGTAAGGAATTTATGCCTTATAATAAAATTATAGCTAATATAATTATTAAGCTAAATTTAAATATATATAAAGAATATTTAAAATTAAAATATAAAAAAAGTTAAACTTAAATATTATTTTTATATAAGAATATAAAAAATACTTTAAAAATACTTTATAATATTATTATAATGCTCTTTATTTATACCTTTAAAAATTATTATTTAAGTTTTTATTTTAAATAAAGATTTTATTAATATAATTATTATTTTTTTTAAGATAAAATTTATTAAATTAAATATATTTAATTAAAAAATAAAATTAAAAAACGCTTTATATATTATTAATTACTTATATTTTAATTATTAATAATAATATTTAAAAGTATAAAAATTTAATAAAAAATATAAAATTAAGTTATAAAACTTAAAAAATTATTAATTTATTTTTATAAATTATAATTATTTATAAATATAAGTATTTATTTAAAGATTAATTTATTAAATTATAAATAATTATTAATAAAGATTTTACTTATTAATATTATAAATATAATTAAGAATATAATTAAATACTTTTTAGCTTATAAAAAATAAATAAAAGCTATTATAGCTTTATTTAAGGGTTAAAATATTATGCTTATTATAATTATTAAATATAAAAAAAATACTTTATAATATATATTTATTATACTTTAAAAAAAAATTATTATTTACTTTATATTTTTAATAAAGCTTAAAAAAAAATAAGTTAAAGATATTATAAATAATATATAAAATATATATTTTATTTAAATTAATGCTAATTTATATATATAAGTAAGTTTAATAATATAATGCTAGCTAAGGTAGCCTTTTTATTAAATTTAAATGGAAAGTTTGCTAAATAATGCAATATTAATATAATTATAAAACTTTTAAATTTAAAAATAAATTAAAAAGGGTAATTTTATATATATTATTATAAGTTTAAAGTAAAGATAAAATTATTATTTTAAAAAGCTTTTTTATAATTTAACATTTAATAGCTAAATAAGCATAATTATTATTAATAAAGTATATATAATTATTATATAAAGAAAAAGCTTTTAAATTAACTTTTTTTTTATTTATTAAGTTAAAAAGTTAATGCTTTGCTAAATATTATTATTTATTTATATAGCTATTTTTAATTATATAAATTAAAATTATATTTTTAAGCATATAAGCTTAAATATTAATAATATAAAGATAATTTAAATATTAATTAATTATTTTAAGCTTTTAATAATTATTTAGCCTTTTATTTATAAATATATAAAAAACTTTTAATATTTATACTTTTTATTAAATAACGTAAATCCCCTTAACTTAATTGCTATTATAAAGAGTTTAATATATATTAATAATAAAAATAAACTATTATAAGCTTATAAATTACTTATTAAATATCTTTAAAAGTATTATAGCTTTAATACTTAATAAGCATTAAACTTTTTAAAATGCTTTAATGCAAATATTTATAAGTTAAATTAAGATTATATATTTATAAAGTTTAAAAAGCTAAACTTTAAATATTAAGTAATGATTTTAATTATATTTTTTAATATTAATTTAAATATTAATAATATTATTATTATTATATAATTTAATTTATTATAGCAACTTAATATATTTAACTCTTAATAATATAACGAATATAAGATAAAAAAGTAATAATCTTAAGGGTAATTTATTATATTTATTTTTATTTATTAATTTAACTACTTAGGTATAAAGAAGAAATAAATATATTAAACTTAGCAAACTTAATTATTTAACATTTTTTAATATAAATAAGTATATTAACT